ATATCAACAATTTTCTAGCAACTTAATTAATATTAGAGTAAATACCTTTTTGATCCCTAACAAAAAATACGGTCTCCACTTTAGTCCCTTACAAAAATAAATTAGTCAGTTAGTCCTTAACAAATTCAAGGTGGACCCATTTTAGTCCTTATGAGGGACTAATATGGGTCTTTTTTGAATTTGTGAGGGATCACGATTTCAACTAAATGGGTCCACTTTGAATTTGTTAGGGACTAACTGACTAATTTATTTTTGTAAGGGACTAAAGTGAGGACCGTGTTTTTTGTTAGGGACTAAAAATGATATTTACTCTTAATATTATTTTAGTTTATATTGTTATCTTTTATATGTAAATTTGAAAGTATATGTTCGTTTTTTACTCCATATAATATGACATATCACTCATTTATTTTGTGAGATTGTAAATATATTAATTAATGGATAATTTTATGAATAACTTTCACATTACTTTGGTATATACAAGATGAGAGAAGCGAACAAGTGCTATTTAATCCAAATTTAAAATGACATAGACAATTGCGAGGAATCTGATAATTTTTTTAAAAACAATAAATAACTTCAAAGAAATTTTTGGGTTTTAGAAATTTTAACAATTTTATGATAGCAAAACTCATCATATTATTTTGGAGTATATAAGATAAAAGAACTGAAAAGAGAAAATAAGGTGAAGTGAATGCTAATGAACTCAAGTTTGAAAAGACATGAACATTCAAATAAAAAATTGATAGAAATTCTCTTTCAAAAAATAAATTGATAGAAATTTTAAGTGCAATTAATAGCTTCAAAGAAATTTTAGCTTTAAAAAATGTCAAAAATTTTCAAACAACACTGTTCAAACTATTGTCGTTTATATTGACACGTCTATACAAGAGAGTTTTTTTTTTTTTTTTGGTTAGATTCTATACAAGAGAGTTTGTTTTAGAATGGGAAGTATATGCCCGAAATTTACTGCTTTAGCTGACTCCAAAAGACAATCTGAGGCGGTTATATATCTGCCTCCAAATAATGTGTAATCATCTCCAAATGGTTAAAATTATATAAATTTTAAATTTTAAACTTTTAATATTAAAATTGTTACTTTTAAAAGTTAATATAATTTTTTTAATTTTTTTTAATTTTTAATATAATTTTCGATAGTGATTAGTTAATATAATTTTTTTTTAAAAAAAATTATTTTTAAAAATTAATAAAATTGTTATTAGTTGAATATAAATAACTTATTGAATTTTGTATATGTGTGTGTTAGTGTGAGTTGTTATATAGAAGGGAATAGAGAAAGAGGAACAAATGACATCCAACGTGGGACTTCAAAGTGAAGGTGAGATGATTTTTTTCAATTTGCAACAGTCATCTTTAAAAATTTATATATAACACAAGATCATTCAACTTAAAAATATGAACGGTTAGATTAAAGTATTACAAGAGAAGAACACACTAATCAAATTTGAGAACGATCCAACGGCTGAACAAAGAGATTTTTCTCTTTGAATCTCACTATCCGATAGATCATGAACCGCCTCTAAATCTTTGGAAGCGGTTATTTTAACCACCTTTAGTGTATATTTTGAGGCGGTTAACGTTCAACCGCCTCCAAATGTATATTAGAGGTGGCTAAAATAACCGCTTCCATTTACCATTCAGATGCGGTTACATTGAAATCGCCTCTAATTGCTACATTTATAGGCGATTATATCTCAACCGCCTCTAAATGGTCAATGGGGGCGATTATTTTAACAGCGTCTAATATATATTTGAAAGTGATTATGATTTAACCGCCTCTAAAGGGAGCAATTAGAGGCGGTTTCAATGTACCCGCCTCTGAATGGTAAATGGAGACAATTATTTTAACCGCCTCTAATATATATTTGGAGACGATTTCACGTCAATCGCCTCAAATCAATTAAATCGCCGGAAGTACCGCCTCTATGTATCAATTGGAGACAGTTTAAGTGAAACCGCCTCGAATAAAAAGCCTCCAAATACCAGTTTTCTTGTAGTGTGTATGTCATAGCATGTCATTCATTTATATACAATAGAATAAAAGTGAAATAGAAAAAATATGGTGAAGCAAGTGTTAATGAACCCAAATTTTAAAAGATGCCAATGTCGTCTAGTGGTGATGAAGTTGGATAGTTTGTATTAACTTATATGTTCAATTTTTACCATTGTATAAAAAAAAATATGAATGTTTGAAGAAATAATTTATGAAAATTTAAAATACAATGAATAGCTTCGAAGAAGTTTTAGCTTTTAGAAGATGTCAGCAGTTTTCTAACAACCAAATTCTTATTATTTTGGTATATATATATATAGGGCTTAACATTTTTCAGCAGCCGTAGATAGTGTTATCTACAGCTGACACAGAAAAGTGGGCCCCACGGATAAAAAAAAAAATACTCAGGATCCGTTGCCGTATCCTAGGATCCGGACGCGGATCCCTGCTTGTTGTAGGTACAACAGCTGCAGAAATCATTTTGCCATATATATATATATGGAAAAACATTTCTCAAGTTGCTTGAGACAATATTATCTCCGGCCATCCCAAAACTACGTCATTTTGTTTATTTATTTCCTTATATTAATTGATTTACCTTTAAATGGTTATGATTCCTTTTTTCTCTCTCTTCCTTTATCACTATTGATCCTTCTTTGTACGATTATGATTTAGTAGCCGGAAATAACATTGTCTCAAGCAGCTTGAGAAATGATAAGCCCATATATATATATATACATACACACATATATATATATATATATATATATATATATATATATGGGATAGGATCAACTTACACCGGTGTAAGAATAATAAATCTTACACCAAATCTTAACCATTGATTTCCGTGCATCCAATGGTTGAGATTTATTGGAAATTAAAAATTAATTAATGAGTGAGACCTAATAAATCTTAACCGTTAGATGTAAAAAATCAATGGTTAAGATTTGGTGTAAGACTTATTATTCTTACACCGGTGTAAGATGATCCTGCCCCTGTATGTATATATATACAAAATTAGAAGGATGCTCATTTTATTTTATTTTTTGGTAAAGAAAAGAAAGGACGGGATGCTTATTATTTACTCCATGTAGTATGACATATATACCACTTGTTTATTTTTTAGATTGTAAATATGGGTTCTCTTTTTCTGCAGTTACTGCAGATAAATTATTTGCAGTAAATCCAATACGACGTCGTTTTGGAGCAGAAATCATGGTGTTTTTGTAATTTTAATTTATTTCAGGATTATTATAACCTTTATAAATATAATTTTCTAATCTTTCAATCCCAAAACGACGTCGTTTTGGAAGTAAATGCAGATAACTTATCTGCATTAACTGCAGAAATATTTTTCTGTGTAAATATATATGTTAATAATTAACGGATAACTTTATGAATAACTTTCACATTATTTAAGTGTATACAAAATGAGAGAAGCAAGTAAGTGCTATTGAATCCAAGTTTAAAATGACATAGACTGTTGCAGGGGAATCTGATACATTTTTTAAAAACAATAAATAACTTTGAAGAAATTTTGGCTTTTAGAATTGCAACCAATTTTATGAATATAACATAAAAGAAGTGAAAAGAGAAAACAAGGTGAAGTGAATGCTAATGAACTCAAGTTTAAAAGACATGCACAGAAAAAAAAATCAAAAAACTGATAAAAAATTTAAATGCAATTAATAACTTTGAAGAAATTTTAGATGCCTATCCAAGAGAGTTTGTTTTAGAATTGGAAGTATGCTCCAAATTTACGCCGTATATCACGGCATGTCTTTCATCCATCTTTGTCCAGTTATAAATGTATTTTTGTAACGCATAACTTATGTGAATAATAAATTTTACATAAAAGATAAAAAAAATTAAAATTTCAATTATTATAATATTTTATTGGATAATAAATTTTTCCTGAATTGAAAAATGAAAATATTTATTTCGTTTCAAATAAGTGATATAAATGAAATGATGAGAAAGAATTTTTATAAAATTTTGTTGAAAAAAAAAATTAATTTGGTTATCTAGTAATAAGTCACTTTTTTTTTTTTTTTCAATATTAATAGCCGAAGACTAATCATTTCGAGGTGGGAGATTACACTCATAAACCCCCCACAGTAAGCTATTAACATGAGAACAAACACGTGGTATAGAAAATATTATCATAGCATTAAACGAAATACACTTGCTCCTACGTTATGCACCATTTATACCTCCACCACCACCTCTTCTTCTTCACTTCAATTTTGTTTCTTTGGTTTCAAACTAAACAGTCACTTGGAAGCGAATTCGAGTATATCTTCTTCTTCCTCTCTCTCTGTTTGTTTGTGCGCGTCTTTGTCTGTGTTCTTCTTTGTGGTCAATATATAATTATCAAATTCAATTTAATTTCATACATCATATGCATATGTGTTTGTGCATATAGTTGCTTTTTGTTGTGAATTTTCTTGTACAATGACAAACTTATAAGTTTCTATATGTTGTTTAATTGACAGGGAGGAAAAGCGTTGATTGCTTTTTGGAGCTTGTTACGGTTCTTGGTGTTGTGCACACTGCATGTAAGAATAGTCCACGGTAGCACTATATATATATACTTGATTTTTCTTTATTTTCCATGGTGTTCATACCCTTTTGAACGAGACTAATCCCCTTTGTTTTTGCCACTAGCCCCAAAATTGCTTTCCCTATAATTCGAACTAGAGATCTTTTAACCCCAACAGTTCTCTCCTTGGGCATACCTCGCTTATCAGTTATACCATAGCTCATTGGGGTTTATACATGCTTGATTTTAAGATATATTTATGCTTTTTTTGCTCCCCCTATTTGATAAATCTTTGTTTTCATACCTCAGTTTGAAGATCTACTAATGATTTAAATGTATTTTTTCTTATAACATATATATAATTTTTATTTTATATGATTCTTTTTTTATTATGTAGTGCATCAAAATACTCAAAGAATATACAAAAGTCCATATCAAGAGATGGATCAAAACCAGTATGGGGAACAAGGAGGAAAAGCACATAGCACTAACCAATATCAATGTAATAACCACATGAATATGATGGGACCCACCCATCTTCCAACTCAGATAGGTGGTCCTTTTGCCCTGTATCCCTACATGACAGAGCAACAATATGGTCACCAATACATGCACCAATTACAACAACAACAACAACAAGGACCAGGAGGATTATTGGAGCAACAACTCAACAACTTCTGGGCTACGAATTACCAAGAAATTGAGGAGACCACTGATTTTAGGTTTCATAGCTTGCCTCTGGCAAGGATTAAGAAGATAATGAAGACTGATGAGGATGTAAAGATGATATCAGCTGAGGCTCCTGTTGTATTTGCTAAGGCATGTGAAATGTTCATTATTGAGCTTACAATGAAGGCTTGGGTTAATGCTAATGAGAACAAAAGGAGGACACTTCAGAAGAGTGATATTGCTGATGCAATATCAAAAACTGAAGTCTTTGATTTTCTGGTTGATGTTGTCCCCAAGGATGAACCTACAACGGATCATGATTTATTTGTTCCCATTGGGAATGTTCCTCCTAACTATGTGCCATCACCAAACTTTGTTACACTTGCACCACCATATGGTGCTCCTGTAATGGTCATGGGAAGGCCTATTTTTCCTCCTCTTGCAACTCGAATGTTGCCCATTCCCAAACAAGAAAATGATCATGCTAGCTCCTAATTCGAATGCTTGAGAGTTGAGAGTTTCAAATATGCTTGTGCTTTTTACTACATTGTATGAAAACCTATGCTTATGCTTTTAGTTGAGAGTTTTAATTTCCCCCCTTCTTTTTCTCTCTAGTTTGTGGTCTTTGCGCTCTTTGGGCTATAAATTGAAAGAATATTTGTCTATCAAGTGGTTTTACTCTCAGCACTTTTTTCGTTTTTTTAAAAATGTAAACTATTTTGACGGAGAAGATGAGGAATAAAATCAAGTAATCACCCCAAGAAATTGTCAAATGTTTCCACAAGGAAGCAACCTGGAAATATCTCTCTAAGAGAGAGCTCAGCAAAATGAGTCAATATTAGTTTTATTATGCTGTCACTCACCGCATATAAGTTATCTGCAGTAAGTCTAATACGATATTATTTTGGGACGAAAATCATGATATTTTTGTACTTTTAATTTATTTCAAGGTTCTTATAATCTTTATAATTATAATGTTTTAATCTTTCAATCTCAAAATGACGTCGTTTTAGGAGTAAATACAAATAACTTATATACAGTAACTGCAAAAATATTTTTCTGATGAACTTAACATAGAAAGAATAAATATGCCTTTTTTTCCAATAAAAAGAAAATACTAAAACAATTAGGATTGATATAGTGGTAAGAGTTGAGTAGTTGAAATGAGATCGTAGATTCAAAACTCATTGCCACAATTATATCCAATAAAAAAAACATCCTACAAATTTCACTTCCAATAATAATAATAGGAAAATGCTATACATACCACCGTTTTAGGTTTATCACTCTCACTATCTGATTGGTTATTATTGAATCAATTTGAGATCAACTGTTGAAAAACAGGAAAAAAAACTGTCATTGATTTCAAATTGATCCATTGATAACCAAACATGTAATAAAAGTGATAAATCTAGAACAATGGTAAATATTAGGGATGGCAAAACAGGCAACCCAACCCAGCCCAGCCCAGCCCGTTTGCAACCTGAAAAAAAAAAAGTCTGGTTAGGGTTGACTCGAAAAAACAACGAGTCAAAAAACACAACCTGACCCGAGCTGGATTAAGATTGACTTGCAAGTTGACTCAAAAAAATAGGAAAAAAAATAGCCTAAAAAATGAAAAAAAACATGATAAATGAAGTAAGATAAAAAAAAATATTAAAGCTTAAAAAAAATGAATATAATATAAGATAATTAAAATTGCTAAATATAAACTGATATAAAAAAAAGTTTTTACTTTCTTTGAACAGATCTAGCCCCCTTATTATTTTTTTGTACTTTTTTTAATAAATAAATAAAATAACGCGCGAGCTAGCCCGTTTAACCCGCGAGTTGGCTCGATTTTTTTCGAGCTAACTCGGATTGTTAGCTCATTTTTTCTAACCCAACCCAGCTTATTTTATGTGAGTTACAGTCAACCCGAGAGGTTAGCTCATTTTTGCCAGTAACTTCACACGTCTTATATAAGTCTATGGAGAATTCCAATATCGATAAAACAAATTATTCTTTGGGCAAAACATTCCATTAACTCAACATGTTTTCTGTAAGTATCTGGAGGTCACAAACAGCATGAACTGGCAGGACAAATATCTTCCAAACTGCAAGAAAGAATGAATGCAGGAGGTTAAAAACGTAACTCAACTTTCTCATAATAAGAACAAATGTTTTTCTAGAAAACGTTACCTTTTCCCCAAGCATTCAATGATGTCACCAGTGACAGTTGATCTTTTCTTATGTGAGAAAGCAAGAGAAGCTGCCTTCCTCATCATAGCAGACCCAGCAATGCATCCCAACACTGCTGGATTTTTACAACTGGAACAAAAATATTATTAAGGATATAACTGATATTCAAAGATGGGATAACATGCCTAAGCAAAAATGAAAACATTCCTTGCACAATCTATGTAAAGTAATGGCATATAACCTGAGATTTGAATTTGGATCAGTAGATGCTACATGTTGGCGCGCCCATGACAAAAAGACAGCAACACTGTACCAATTAAAATAAGTATACTTTTACTTAAAAAATGTCAAATTCCAACAGCATAGATGTAAAATCTACATGTAATTTCTATTTTCTACTAATTGCTAATTGCTAATTGATTTGGTTTAATAGTGTTGTAGGATATTTCTGTCTATATATGTATGCATGCATGGCCTGTCCCAAGTCAGAGTAAAAAAGAAGAGTTGACATCAAGTTTAGCGAGCCGGCCATTAAAAAAAAACCATTATTTATACGAGATGAACCCTTATATAGAATCTGTTTCTCGTAGCTAAGGATAGAATAAGTGAAAACTGCAGTATGCATTACTCATAGACAATAGATGTTCCCAAGGTCAGCAGTACATCAGGGGAACTGTGGAAGTTTGACAACTTAAATTGCTTGTACAACTTAACCTATTGGTCCCATTCTAGAAAAGACCACAAACACAGTAATTGAATTACTTCTCTCTTTCAAATTTCAATGAATGACAAGCAAAACAATAAGTTACCAAAGGAAAAGTAATAAAAAAAGGAAATGCATGCTTGACTTCTCTCTTTCAATTTTTGATTAATGAAAGCTCAAAAATTTCTCCAGATTTTCTATACATCTTAATTTTTTTCTTGGATGTACTTAAATAACGGTAACAAACTAACAATGAGGGAAGGAGCAGATGAGTCAAAGATAAAAATGAAGAGAACTCCATCTGACATAGAGAGGAGCCATCTAAGCATACAGTAAAAAATTTCATGGAAGGGAATTTCACAAATACCAAGAAAAAAATTACTTGCCTTCCAGAAAGGATATCACCTTGGCCACCACAGCGTCTAGGAGAACCATAGATACTGACTGATTTGACTGCATGAAGAATAACCACAATCAAATGATTTACAAACATCTGCGGATCACTATAATACACATATCCCATAAGCTGGTGCCATGTGCATAAAGCAGTCTATACCATATTATATTGTTAAGCACTAGTTTTTAGTTCATGCTTCATATAGAACATTGCTGTCTGTTCCAAAACGTAAAGACCCTATTCCATAGATAAATTTAGGAGATTTCAATTGCATTAGTAAACTTTCAGTTCTATTATCTCGTATATAACATGTCATACAGCCACTGGTAGTCTGGGAACTGTAGTATGGCGTACCACATGAACATCACATTCTTGATTACAATCCCAAATGCTGCTCAAGTGAAAGAAAAAAAAACAAACACAAAAGAACGGAAGCAAGAGTAAGTGTTATATTAATCAAAGATATACCTGTGTCGCCATCACTTATGAGATCGGATTTTCCTTTCCTTAGGATAGTTACGCCACCAATTCTGCCAAAAATAGTCCACAAATTGCCATTAAACTTCTAGACTTAAGGTCAGATGATAATGGGAAATAACTGAAACGTATTTTGATCCAATCAAAAAACTTAGCATGCAGTTCTTTCTATTGCTAAAAGATGCAATTGTTTTTTTTTTTACCAAGAAATTAAAGAATTTTAATCTGCTTTCACAATGTTAATTATCAAGATACAAGAGGTATTGATTGTAATCCTTGTGTTAACTACACTAAGGAGATTTCATTTATATATTAAACCAAATAAGAGATACAAAGACATATACACAATGTGGGACCTCTATGACACTATTTACAACAACACACAATATTTGACCTGTATATGTCTTGAATCAGCCTAAGCATCAAGCAAATCACACTGCTCATGATACAGTGCATAAACAGGATTTAAAATTTAAGCTCCATCCAATTAGAATCTTGAAACAATAAGTTGTCAGAGCATTAGAGTCACAGAATAAGAATCATGGAGGTTGTACAGAAGGGGCTCAACAGAAGTAGTTATTTCTGTCTTTAAGAATCAGATGGTTGAAAAAAGAATGGAGTTCCCATTTGAGAAATGCATGCACCCATTTTTCACTAAACTTTTTTATGTAAGATTTTCATGGTCCAAGGGTAAACATAAAACGTAGTTGTATCTGACATGGATATCAGTATATCACATTTATATGATTAATCTGCCAACCAAGCCCTTGAACATTGTCCATTATCTGGAGTAAGCACTACGTGGTTAGATGAAACTGCCCTTGACCAAGGAAATTTCACAACACAGAACGCAACGGAACAGAAACTTGTTCAGATCTGTCAGAATGAGTGACATGCATGTTCGGATTTACACAAGTTAGCATGCTGAAAATGCATGTGGTTACACAACCAAACCCACTATCCTCAACAGATACACATCTCAGAAATAGTAAACAATGATCAGTTGCCTGAAAAATGTTCTAGTACAAAAAACAGTAACTTGAAATGAGAAATATACTGTTTGGCAAGAGATAGCACTTGCTGAGTAGCATCTACATCATTTGCTTCAGAATTCAGTACTTTCTGAACAAGACGCTTATATTCATTCACATTTGGGGTTAGAACAGCTAAGGCATAGCCACTAACAAGGTCAAGATGGTCTGTAACAAGAAAAAGTCCATCCTGAAAAGTGCCCAAAAATTTGATCAGAATGATCAATTATATACAGGCTAAAAAGGCAATCAATATGCACATGTTAATCAGACTATAAGGTGTCAAAACCTCAACATACATACCCCATCTATCACAATTGGGATGCTTGACTGTCTTGCATGTTTCATGATTTCACTCACACAGTCCTGACATCATTGTGCAAATGTAAGGATTAAAGATGGTTGATATTGGCTATACATAGGTCATAAGATATATAACATCATAGAGCTCAAAAGGAGAAAAAAATTCCTGTACTACAACAAGGACAAAGAAAAAAGTATATTTAGTAAACATTGAGCACATCTTGAAAGCCCAAATTTCTAATACAGCCATAATATATATGTACCCTTGCTTAATTACTTAAACTTTTAAACATTGTGGTTCTTTGGCATGGAAACAAAAGCTGGGTGATCTAGCTCATCCTTGCCATTTTCAACTATGTAAAGAACCTTGGGATACACCACCCCAAAAGCTAGCTCAAAGGGTGGGAGTGCCCAAGACCCTTATAAACTCCACATTAGTTGCACATACAACCAATGTGGGACTACATATCTCAACAAACTATATTATCAGAATTTCAATACAAAGTAATACCATGTTTCAAAAGTTACGAGTTCATGCTTTGTTACATCTTAAGCCAAATGAGTTTTTAAATGAGTAAAAGCTGTCATTTGAGTGCTCCTCCAACAGTTTATTTTCATAGAACGACTAGTTCTTTGACAGTCTTATTAGACATCATTATGCTATAGCTGTAATAAGCATTACCTGCATGCATGTTATCATACATGCATACTGGAAAAAGACTAGAACACTTAAATTCCAAAAGCAAACACAAGAAGTTAAAGATAAGCAAGCTATTTCCATGTGTGTAATGAAACTGGGATCCAGTGAAGCATTTCAAGAGAAAGCATACTAGAAGGAATGGGTCTCTTCCAAGGCCTGGACCAATGACAAGACAGTCAAATCTTCCTATCCACTTGTCAACTTCAGCAAGAACCTTGCTTGATATGATTTTCTTGTCCTCTTCCCTGAAATTAGTTCTCACTAAAACCAACATCCACTTGATTTTTTGAAATGTGTATACAAAAAGGTGAAGATTACATAGAAGTTGTACCTGACACCATATGATTCTTCCAAAACAGGATGCACAATCAACTCAGGACTGTAACTTTTGATGACAGGAGCAGCATCTTTTGTACAAAATACATGGGACAAATCTGCACCCTGCATGGATGGAAAAATAATTGGATAATTTGATTCAACAATAAGAGGTAAAATAACTTCCAAAGAAAGAGAAAAAGAAACTTGAAGAAGGCAGAAGATAATCAGTGTGAGTTAATACAATCAACCCAACAAGGTGGAGAATTCAGTACGAGGGAGGAAAGGGTAGAGGTACTAACAATTTTTAAGGCTGAAATAGCAGCAAAATATGGTGCACCTGTATATTCACGGCACCCTCCAATAACAGCTATTTTTCCTGATTTGAAACATACGAGAAGGAAACATTAGATATTTCTTATTTTCTATCCAGCCACAAACATAAATACAAGTAATACAAGGTTAGTCCTCTGGACATAACTGACAACATATGACTTTCAGAATTTTCTGTCTTAGATAAACACAACTCACCACAGCCTTGATAGTTGTTTCCAATTGCCAAATGAAATGATTGAAAATCAATCTAAGACAGAAACTTGCTATGATAGGCATATTTGCAATAATTAAGGAACATTTCGTTACATGTTATGTCTAGAAAAAGAGAAAAAGAAGAAGTAAGGAACGAAAAAAATAAAAATAAAAATATGCATAGATGTATAACAAGTAAATAGCACACATGGAGTGACTGAAAGAAGACATGTTACTTTTCCTTGGATCTATTTCTGTTATTATTATTATTAGTTAACATTCAAAAAAGGGATCATATGGAATTGCAAGAATTGTGTACCTGCCTGGCCTTTATGTCTACGAGGATCAAGGGCAGGAGTAATTGCTCGAATAATGCTCTCAGCATCAACCTCAACAGACCTCAGGTCTTGCATATTTCTAGAATTGGTGTGATGATCAATGCCACCTCCCAGAGATCTTATCAAGAACTGTTGTCTTCTGAAAAAAGATGAAGAAGCCAGTAGCATACAAGTGCTTGCACAACCCAGAAAGGAATATTGAGAATTCATGACATGTTTCATTAACATGAGCAAACAGCATCCCCTATTCACAAACAAAGCTAGAATATTATGTAAACATCCAAAGCTTCTTACCTGCAACATCCCAAAAACACAAACCCCCCAGCTCTTTCTAATTAATCCACCAGAACTTTTGCTTGAACTATGGTAACCATTTTCATAATAAGCGACATAGACTCAGAAAGTTCAAACTTTTCAGAGGACACAACACATGAACGCAACCAGTGAGTAAAGGGAACAAATAAAAAGAAAATGAAGCAAATATTTAGCTTATAATACCTGAAAAAACAATTTTATTTAATTATTTAGCAAAAAGGAAATAGTTTATAGCAAAGATAAGGAATCAAACCCACTGTTTTACGATTCAGCTAGCTTGGATGGTTTAGCTCAGAATTCATGAATAATGAGAAAGTTTCTCTCTTTCCCATTTTTTATTTTTTATTTTTTATTTTTTCTCTTTGGGTTTGGCTATTTGTCATTGGATGGTACACGTGTACTCAAATGCACAAAACGACGCGTCGTTGGGACCTTTTTGTTATACCTAGTATTTTCGTTTGCTTTCAGCTAAGTTGTCTTGTTCCTTCAGTGCGCGGTGGCTTGAAGAGGCAAAGCATGGCTCCAAGTTCAGATATGAAGATGAACGCGATTAGGTCAACGATAGTGGTGCTAGGAGCGTTGGCGTTTGGATACTTGAGCATTCAGATCGGTTTCAAGCCTTATCTGGAGAAAGCTCAGCATCAAAATGAAGTGTATGATCACCAATCTGAATCTGACCCATCCTCACCTTCTCAGGAATCGTTCTCTTTCCCAGAACGCCATTCCTAAAATCAATTTTATTTGCTTACATTATGTATCATATTGGTTTGTTATCTTGCTTTATGCGTTTGGAAGAAGCGATAATAATATTTGTTCTTGTTACTCCAACAAGGTTTCTGTTTTTCTTCTGCTTAGCCTTTGTTTGAGATGAGTTTTAGCCTGTAGCATCTGTTCTTTTATGTTGTTCTATCAATGTTCTGCTGAAGATGTAATTAGGGTTCGTATAAAATTTTTTTTGTTAAAGATGTTCTTCCGATGAAGAAAACTAGAATCGTGGGTAGAGCTACAAATAAAGAACCAAGATGTTCTGCAGATGTGGGCCTTATATTATGCACGATCTGTTATAAAGAGAATGAAACGTGTTTGTTATAATATTTGTAAAATCAGCAAATCATGGTTTGGGCCAAACTAAATCATACATATGGACTATGGTGATTTTGATTGAGCTTCTACTTTTCATTAATGCTACTCACGATCGTCAAAATCGGGGTCCTCGGAAAGTCATACGAGTTTGGTAACCTGGAGCATCTCAAGTCTCAACTTATCATATGTAAGGAGTTAAAATTTGGCATAGAAGCCCTTTTTTTGGTTGGTACAAAGAAGAACATTTTCTATTTGAGTAATAGTCATTAAGGGTGTATATGATAATCTTTTTGAAATCATTTTTTTTTTAATTTTTGTTTATGAGAATAGAAAAATCATTATGTAAAATCAGTTTATTTTTTTGTTCCCGTATGAACCAATTCAATTTTTATTCTGGGAACAGGAAAAAGAAGAAAAAAATTTCTACTTTTTTATTTGCGGGCACAAAATGAGAAACATTTGTTTCTCTCAATCACTCTCCACCACTACCATAATCACCACCATTATCATCATCCCGACACGACCACCACCACCACTGTCGTCATTGTCGTCGTACCACCAGTGTCATCGTCAGTCGTCACCATCATCATCACCATCACGATGCCACCGCCACCACCACCTCCACCCATCGCCACCATCACCACCACCATGCCACTGCTGCCACCGTCGCCGCCGCCACAACCACCATTGTTACCAACCACCACTATTATCGTCGCAGCCACTGCTGTCACCACCACCACCACTACCAACATCACAATATTGCCACCACTACCACTACCGTCATCATCACTGCCACTGTCATCAACCACCACCACTATTGCTCCAGCCACTGTCATCACCACCACCATGCCACCACTACCATCGCTGTCACCACCACCATCATCGCAGCCACTATCGTCACTGCCACCACCATCCCTATCACCACGCCACCGCCACCATCACCACCATTGTCACCAATCACCACTGCCCTCACCACCACCACCACCACGTCATCACCATTACCATCACCATGCCATTGCCACCACTACCACCACTGTCATCAACCACCACATCCATCGCTGCAGCCACTTTCCTCACCGTTGCTGCCGCCGCCGCCGCCGCCACCATGCCACCACTACTAGGGGTGTTCATCAACCGATTCAAACTGCGGTAACCGAACCAAAAAATCGATAACTAAATAAACCGAAAACCAAAAAATCGAGAACCGAATAAAAACCACAAATTTTAATTGGATTGGATCGATTTTCGGATGAGTTGATGAAAACCGATCCAATCCAAACCGATCCAATATATTAATTCCCCTCTACCTACTTGTGTCTTTCCTCCCATCATAGAACAAAATTTTTTAAACCCAAGACCTATTAACCCAAGAAAAAATCTAGTCACATCTCATCAACACAAATTGATTTGTGTAAAGCTTCATATTTCATTGCCCAAAAAAAACCTATATTATCATTTACTTTTAATTTTTTTTTACAAAGCCTATTATACAAAAAATGTTATTTGCATAATAAACATAAACAAATTTTAAGATTTTCAAAAAACCAAAAACTGATCCAATCCAAACATAAAAAAATTGGATTGGATCGGATCGGATTTGAAAAAAAATCCAAACCGAATGGATGATGAAATGATCAAACCGAAGAAATTGGATCAGATGATTTTTGCTTCCAAAACCAAAACCGATCCAATCCAGACCGCAAACACCCCTAATCACTACCACCACTGTTGTCACCACCACCACCATGCCATTATCACCACCACTATTGTCACCACTATCAAACTTCATTTCATCAAACTTCACTCAACTGATGCACTACACCACCCTATTTCTTCAACTCTTCCACCTCTTTTAGATTCTACTTGCCACAACTTATTTATTTTGGGACTTACCCCAAGTGCTCAAAATGGCAAAACCTTAAATGAGCTTGTACCACAGCGTTAATTTCTGCTATTCTTGCTTCCATTCTGTCATGGACAAGCCAAATATGATTGATTCAGCTCTGTCCCCAACTTTCTTGGTCCTTGATTTTCATCATTTGCAACATTATAATTTGGGGAATTATTTTCTTATGTTACATAAGATAAAAATACTTTTCTGCACTCACATATAAAAAAATGGGACCCATTTATACATTTTCTCTCTCCTATATTTTCTCTAATCTCTCATTTACATGTATCTGTAGGAAATTTTTGTTATCTTAGATAACATAAGAAAACAATTTCCCTTATAATTTAGTATAGATATTATCTTATCTTCACGTGTGATGTGAACATCATCAATTTTGAGATATTTTGTATTCATTGTGTTGTTTCCCCTCTTCACTTCATCCCTAGTCTATCGCATTTTTTAGTGACTTGTGCATGCTCCTAGAAAGTGAAAGAGGATGAATTTCATGAGTCATTGTGAAAATATGCTTTATGAAATTATATGTTTGTAGAAAATTAACCAATTCACATGAGAAAGTATTCGATTACCTACATCTTCTTACCCGTCATGTTGAAGTTGTTATCTCGCACCCAAACTTCTCTCACAATTTTTCTTTGGAGAAATAAACACACCACTGTGATTGATTTCGAAGAACAAAACTAAAAATTGTCTTGAAACGTAATATGACTAATTCAAAAGCTGCAAGTCTCCCATTTTGTCTTTATCTCACATGTTGCATCTCCTGACCTTATCACATGATTGCTAGTGAAGGGGTCCGTAGCAAAGTGGACGGCCCGGCCCGCTCCGCTCCGCTATTAACACGTCAAAAAATAAGCCAACTCACCCCGCCTCCCTTTTGAAAGTAGGCTAAAATACTCGGCTCGTCCCGCCCCATTTGGTGGGCAGGCATATTAGCCTGCCAACCCAAATCTGTTTTATATTGACCCGCCTTGGCCCGTCCCTCCTCGTTATCAACCCGCTAAAAAACAAGCATGCCCCGCTTTTGAAAATGAATTGTAAAACTCAGTCCACCATGTCCCGTTTGGCGAGTGAGGCGGGTCGGCCCACCGAGTCGAGCCCGTTTTGTCGGTCCTACTCCATCCCCCATATTCCACCTTTATTTGTTATTATTATTGCATTTCCACCTTATTATTATTATTATTATTATGAGATCCATATTCCACTTTTTTATTGCCATATTTAGATATTGTCCTTAAAATTTACTTTTAGTTTGGTAAAATATTAAGAAAATATTATGGCTAAGTAATTTTGAATGGTGATATGTGAAACTATACTCTAGATAAAATTACTAAGCCATATTCTCTTACTACTAATTTTATTTTAATTATTTAAAACATATTGAAATTTTTCAATTAATTATAATTTTAGAAAAGATTTATCATATTATCATGGAAATATATAAAATATTCTTTTCAAACCCATTACGAGTGATTTTTCTAATATAATTAAGAATATGTTTTAATTTCCATTCTTTGTTTATAAAATAAGTACCTCTAAATGTTTTTCCCCCTGTAAATACCTCTAAATTAATGTTTTTAATTGTGTTTAAATATGATCTTTAAAAATTCAATTACCATTTATTTTAAAATTTAATGGTTTCCAACTCCTACAACAACAAATAAAAAATGTGGCTTTTGTTACCCAAACAAATGTGGTTTATTAGTATTACTGGATTTTAATATAAGCACTTCTTAAATATTGTATCCAAATGAAAAATAAATTATTATTTTTTGGTAATCAAATAATTTTTTTTAAAAAGATCCTTATTAAAGTAATTATGTGAAAATTTATTATTTATCTTTCTTCTGATAAGTTTTCGCAAATTTTGATATCTCTATTAAGAAAAAAATCAAATTTTTTACTTATGCATCTATTCCTATATATTTGTAACTGAAAATATTAAATGAGATTGAATTATTTTATTATTTTTATATCATTGTAAATTATATTTTTAATCTTAATCATTAATTTATTCATATCTAATGGGTCTAATTTATTATTTATGTGAGTCGTTGAATATAAATGAATCAATCTCTAAGAAATAAGATAAAACTTTTATTTCTACATCAGTTTAACCTTATTTTATTCTGCATTAAATTATTTTATTTTTAATTTAATATTTTTAGTAATGTTTTAATTTAAGACTTTTGATACTCGAAAATTATTTTGGATCTCAATTAATTTCTTTTTTAACAAGTGATCGAGTGCAGTAGTTAAAAAATGTCCGAAAATAAAAAAACTAACATTTATTTTAGTCATTAATTTTTATTTTTATTTTTATGTGAGGTCATTGAAAAATATTTAAAACATTAATGTAATCTTTAAAAAATAATTGTATTAAATTGATAACGACAAGTTATTGATATTAAAATAATCTGAAGTTATTATTTATTAAAACAGTATTAATATCATTTAGTGAGTGAAATTTAGTTGTTTACCAAAAAAAGACTAAAATTTATTTAGAAGATTATTTTAATTTATAAATTTCTAGGACAACATTAATTTTAAAGGAATTTTGGGAGAACCAATTTACCCATAAATAAAACAAAACAAAAATTCTCCCTGACAATAATAAAGAGCACACTGAATCAATTTCGGAAATGATGCATCAACTTCCGAAGAGAATAGGGATTAATTCCCCTTAACCAATGGCTCTAAGATTTTACAGGGTTATATCCCTATGTGTTAGCTTCACATAGGTCCAAACTCCACTCAATTTAGAGCTCCGTAGCTCAAGTCATGTCCAATTTACTATAATATGTTCGTGTTGATTTTGGACAGCTCATTTTAGCACACTCTTCGAGCCCATTTTTCTTTTCGATGGCGCGCTTTGGCGTTCCCTAGAGCGCTTTAACCCTCAGGACTCGAAGGAATTGGAGTTTTAGCGCCCTATAACACCTTTAGCTCCTTCAACGTGTATATTCTTCATTTTTAGCACGTTTTAGAGCCCTCTAGCACGCTGAACCGAAAGGAAATTCCTATTTAGCGCACTTTGGAGCGTTTTCGTGGGCGTTAGCGCGCTCCCTAGGGATATTGAAGTTTCATAGGAGGCATTAGACCTCCATTCTCATAGTTGGGTACCTAATTGACATGAATGACAACCACACGCCCATCAAACATTGGTGCACTTACATCTTCATTAAAATTCCATCTCCTTGATATTTCTTAGGCTCTAATTCCTTTAGTTTTTCTTAGCTTTCATTTTGAGTTACAATGTAATAAGTACAATATCATCATTGTAAATTATACATTCTTCCTTTGTCTTCACCTATCTCATGATATGGTTATAATTTGTACATCCTTGTGCACCAAGCCTCATTGGCTCAAACATACATTCCTTGCTCAATTCCAAAGACATAATACATATAATTTATATTACATTAAAATGTCCATTACATAATTACATGACAATGTTCAAAATACATCATTCTTGTACGTGAGTTCCATAATCAAAATACAACATTTGAATCATGCAAATTACACATTGTCATTCCTATAGGCCTCAAAATAAATTAAGTTAATATGTGTTCTCAAAATGTACATCATCACATGTGGATATACAAAATACACAAGTCTATGCCATCTATACATCAACATATCAGAAATATCCCCATGTCAGGCAATGTCATGCTTCTTGCCCAATGATGTGCCTTCACTATCTGTGGTGGTACCTGAAATGAAATCTCCAACAGAGGTGAGATGCGAATCTCAGTAAACTAAGGGTCTTTGGAGGGTCATTCCGCCCTTTAGTTCACTTATTGTACATGCATAACATAAACATAGCATTTTCATAATTCTTATTACATATGTATCACATATCCAAGGAACTCCCAAGAAACTTATAAATCATCCCTTAGGAGTCTACCCTCATGGAGGTCATAATACCATACCCATAGAGTGATTTTATCTCCTTAATTAAATATTTTATCTAATAACCATATCTTAAACATGGCTAAAATTCTAATTTCTTATTTTACTGCTGTGAGTTATTATAGATTTTTCCACAGCTGTTCTTTTCCTCTTCTCAAAAAATTGTAGAAGTGAATTTCTCGTTGGACAAAAAATTTGAAATCTTAGTTGAGGGGCCTTATTTATTTATTTTTATTTTTTTTTTGTAATATGAGGGGCTTATTTAATTGAGACACTTTGACCGCATTCAAATTTTTAATAGCAATGGTAGTGTTAAGGGGGTTGCTCGTTTGGTGAGAGGCCTAGAAATGAAATGAGAACAATGGAAATGTGAGGGTTTGGTGATTGGTACTAGAGCATCTAGCCGATTGGAGAGTATGGTGAACATCTTCTTCAATTGAATGGAGAGTGCCTAAATTGCATCTTTTATTTTTTCTAATCGTTTCTCTATGCGTGGTGTCTATGTCTGACTCTGATACCAAGTTGTTACATACACCCTATTTTGGAAGAAAATAAAGGATTTGAGTTCAACCGAGGGAACCTTACCTCAAGCACACAAGTAAGTGCACGTAATATTTCTTCTTATCTGATCATCTTTATTCCAATATTTCAAGGTTTAAATAGATAATACAAGTTAACCACAAAAATAAATTCCCATTAATACTAGATAGACTCTACTAATAGCTATGACCTATCCTTTAACAAAGTTGAAATTCAAATAACAAAACAAATAAAATAACCACCACTACTTAAACAACCCAGCAATTCAAAAAATAATAAAAATAAAGGTTTGGTGTTTGTCATTTTAAATGACATAAAATATGTCATTTTAAGAGAGAGATAGACATAAGAAATGGAAATCAGAGAGAAACTGAATATTTTTTTAATTTAAATTTAAAAATAAATAAATATTTGTGTCTATCTCTCTCTTAAAATGACATAACTTTATGTCATTTAAAACGATAAACATTTTTTCCTAAAAATAATCATAACAATAAGCTGTTACTTACACCTACTTTAGAAGAAAATATGAGATTTGAGTTCAACTGAGAGAACTCTACCTCAAGCACACAAACAAGTGCACATAATATTACTTCTTCTCTAATATTCTTTATTCCAATATTTTAAGATTTAAATAGATAATGCAAGATAAAAATAAAAATAACTACTCACTAACACTATTTAGGCTCCACTAATAGTTATAACCTATCCTTTAGTAGAGGTGAAATTCAAATAAACAAAACAAATAAAATAACCACCACTACTTAAACAACCTAACAATTCATAAAGTAATAAAAATAACTGTAATACTCACAATCTTCAATCCTATTTAGAGAACAATTATTTGATATTCAATTCATATTATACTTCGATCTCACACCATCATCCTCTGTGCTAACTCCATTTAATAATAATAAAAATCCAAGTGCATTAGTGTAAAATAATTCATATACTAACCCCCGAGGGCAGTTCAGATAGCAATAAAGCTCCCAAGAATTTATTTGGGTCAAAAAGGGGTTCAAACTCTGTCTCAAACAAATTCTTAAAAAATCTATGGGGACTAAAGAATATGCTTCTCTCCTCGAATAAAAGATTAGTCTCGTTCTTTCTCCAGTGACGAAACTCAATGCAACCACTATTTCAATGAAGCTGTAGCCTTCACGGCCTTATTCTGATAATAAGGTGATCAGAGGACGTTGAAGAAGGATATCTCTAGATTATACCAAAAAAATAAAATAATACTAGTTCATTAGGGGAATGATCTTTATTGCGAGTTTTTAACCTTTTCATCTGGAAATTTGGTGTTTATTTCTCACTCGATGAGTTTCCTCAAATTTTGATATAATCTCATCTATTTTTTTTTTTTTTTGGTAACATAATCTCATGTATAAGATGGGGATAAACACAAATATCTTGAAAAAGAAAATTAGGTTATTATCAGTAATTTTATATTTGTTTCAGCTTGCGCCGTGGTGGCGGTGTTGGGATTACCCACGTTCCAATCAAAACTCAAACTCCACCCACTCTCATAAAATCAACGTGGGGCACGTCTCCTCCTACCGTTACTACAGTTTCCTTCTACAATTTCAATACTAGGACTCACCCACGTTTTGCCCCCATTCTCTTATAACGCTTAAAAGTCCAATAACTCTTCGGATTTTTTTCTTTTTATTTAAAAAAGTCTTTGGATTTTCCTAATTGGATTCAAATCCTTCTTGCTTCTGTTAATCAACATAGAAGAGAATTTACATATTAAATCAGATATGAAAGCTATGAATGCTCCCTTGCTTCTTGCACACCCCGTATCTTTCTTTTCTCTTTTGGCTTTTTATTTAAACTGACCAATCAAGCAAAGCTTACAAAACATGCTTCTATTCCATTGGGTGTTATGAAAGTGTCGTATATATTGCTTTCATGCCACCCTTCTCTGCGTTTTTTTACAAAGTCACCATCTTTCTCTGTTTTTTGTCATCACTCTTCACATTATAAGGATACCCACTTATCCTGATTCTGGATTTTGATTTTGATTTTGATTTTTTTTTTTGACTTAATTTAATGTCTTCTGAGAGCTCCCCACTACAGCACGTGGAAACCATGCCAGTTTTTGAAGCTTTTCGGAGAGTCAAACGTTTGAGGTTGTTTGAACCGTCTCTGGGTGTTGCTGGATTTTTTCTAGTCTCTGCCTTTGTTATATGCTGCTTCTTCTACATTGATTACGGAGAACTCTGTGGAAGATTTGGGCTTTCGGGTCAATCTCAGAGGTTTAATTGGTCACAACAGATAAGAGGTTCAGCAGAGGAACATAGAGTTGAATTTCTTGGAGAAAAGAATGGTGGGTGTGATTTGTTTGAGGGTAACTGGGTTTGGGATGAAAGTTACCCTTTGTATCAATCAAAAGATTGCAGCTTCCTCGATGGAGGATTTCGGTGCACTGAGAATGGAAGACCTGATTTGTTTTATACAAAGTGGAGATGGCAACCAAAAGATTGCAACTTGCCCAGGTTCAGTTTTTCCTTCACCTTCAGCATGTTTTGATTTCTTACAAAACGATAAAGAACAATGACAATCTAAAACCATTGTTCATTGTTTTCATCGCCTTTTGGCTCCTGAGAAATTAAGGAAGGATATGGTAAATTCAAATATTAATCTAATAATTTTAGTTAATTTTTTAAGGAACAAAATCACCAGGCACTACTGAGCTGTCAGCAAACAATATTAATTTTTGGTTACGTCATAGAGTATGACTTTGAACACTTTCTGTAACTTAGCAGCTTGGTGAAAATGGAAACATATATTGGATGCTCATATTTACACGGATGAGGAATTGTTAATCAATGACGGAAGAATATAATTTAATGCCATTCCTATTTTTAAATGTAAAAGATTTGTCCATTGTTTTGCCGTTTTACATCACTTTCAAGTTTGGATTATTTTTTCTCTTCCTTCATTTGGATTGAATTGAAATCCTTGTATCTCTTTTGACCTCTTTCTCTTACATTTTATCGGTACCCTAGCCTTCAATTGGTGTCTTTAACTATAATAAAAGCAAATGCCTTTTATAATATTCTAACAACCAATTAATGGTAATACCAACCAAACCAATGTTATTACCAATCAATTTAAGCGTTAGATCGATTATGTTGATCCAATGGTTATATTTATTATATTGATTCAATGGTTATATTTATTTCCACTTTTGTGTGGTTATGATTTCTCATATTTAATGTTATTTTCATAACCATATAAAGATGGAAATAAATACAACTGTTTGGATTAACATAATCGATCTAACTGTGAAATTGATCGGCAGTAAGATTGGTAACACTAATTGGTTGTCCCCTTTATACATTTTCGGTCATTTTCTTCTTTCTTTTCTTAATGTTACCCGTTTGTATTGTGAAAGAACAATTATTGGTGAATTTCAACATTTGTTTTGGTACAGAATCTCAACAATTTTATTTCTACTCAGTTGCATGCTAGCCAGTATTCTAAGTGCTAATTCAAAGACTAAATTTTGTCTCTGTTCATTTGGATGAGGACACTGGCTATATGTATTCACTTGTTTCATTTATTTAACTTGTAGTGTTTTCTTTCTTTGATTTGATGAAAGAGAAAATGTGAACACTTAAAACATTGGGCTTCTCACTGATAAAAATAGGTTCAATGCAACAATGATGTTGGAAAAACTGAGAAACAAGCGCCTAGTGTTTGCTGGGGACTCAATTGGGAGAAACCAATGGGAGTCACTATTATGCATGCTCTCTTCTGGAGTACCTAACAAGGAATCAATCTATGAAGTAAATGGCAACCCAATCACAAAGCACAAGGGGTTCTTGGTGTTCAGATTCAAGGATTTTAACTGTACAGTGGAATATTATAGAGCTCCATTTCTTGTATTGCAAAGCCGGCCTCCCCGTGGAACCAGTCGAAAGATTAGGACAACCCTGAAATTGGATAAAATGGATTGGAACTCTTTCAAGTGGAGAGATGCAGATGTTTTGGTACTTAACGCAGGACACTGGTGGAATTATGAGAAAACCATAACAAGGTAATTCAATCCTCTCAGATTTTTATTTATGAATGACCTATGACATTTATCTATATTTTTCACCTGGAGAAAGGATTTAATTTTTTCTGTAATTTTCCAGCGGTTGTTATTTCCAAGAAGGGATGGAAGTAAAGTTGGAAATGAAGGTAGAAGATGCATATAAGAGGTCCATTGAAACAGTACTAAACTGGATACAAGATACAGTAAATCCTAGGAAGACTCAAGTTTTCTTTCGTACCTATGCCCCTGTGCATTTCAGGTTTGGAATTTGTTTGATTATTCAAATGACTTATATTTCCCTTCACTATAATAGTTTCAGTTGTATTGTTCTCACCTATGCTGTCAAAGTGTGCATTGCATTGATTGTTTCCTGGAACACCTGAATGTTTTCTTCTCCTGAATGAATTAACATTTCTGAATATGCATTAAGTTATTAGAAACTAAATTTCTCCAATATGCACCATGCAGAGGTGGAGATTGGAATAAAGGTGGAAGCTGTCATTTGGAAACAGTGCCAGAGCTAGGCTCGTCATTGGTGCCCAATGATACCTGGTCACGATTCAAAATAGCCAATTCTGTGTTATTAGCACATAAAAACACTTCTGAAGTTTTGAAGTTCAAGGTATTGAATGTAACCCAGATGACAGCTCAGAGAAATGATGGGCATTCATCTATCTATTATCTCGGTCCTGATGCGGGCACTGCACCTCTTCATCGCCAAGATTGCAGCCACTGGTGTTTGCCTGGTGTACCTGATACATGGAATGAGCTTCTTTATACATTGTTCCTCAAATATGAAACATCTCATAGATGAAACTTGGGACAGTGAAGAGCATAATTTACACACAGCATTTTAACTGTGCAGTATGGATTCATGGAGTATGCAAAAGGAATATACCAAAATTTTCCTTGAAGTATCATAGAGAACAATGCTGCTTGACATTTTGCAATGAGATTCAGAACTAAGGTCTCAGATTTTTTTTCCTATTACACCAGCAGTGACCAGTGAGAATTGCTTATGTTAAGAAGTCTGGAATACAGTACTGCTTGTAGAAGCCCGAAGTTTCTCACTTCTGTTTATATATTGTGATTAGATAATGGAAACAGCAACGATACCTGTAACTATCAATTGTTGTTGTTTTTTGTAAGTTGAATTGTGAATACAGTTTTGAAATAAATTATAATGATTAGTCTCGTTTACTTTGGCACTAATGTGACTTGTCATCAGCAAGACCTTTCCTGATCCAATTTTTTAGTTTTTTCTGAGGTGATTGTATATAAGTTACCTGTATTGAGATTAAAACGATGGTGGTATTAAGATATCTTTATGAGTCTTTATTCATTATAATGTTTTATTATGATAAGTTTATTAAATTTATGATATTTTATGAGATGAAAGCATTAAATGGGGGTTATTTTGTAATTTTATTAAATTTTTCTATCTATATTTTATTTTCAACTAAACACATAGGTAGTAATTTAACTCAATTTTTTTAGTAAAATTTTGTCCAACCAAACCATATTTTTTAAATTTTTCTATATAACTCATCTTCCCTTCAGATACCTAGTAATTATATTTTCTCACACAGACCAAACACTACCTTGTGGTATCCACGAGTAATATTCCACATAAATTTTATGTACGTAGGAGGTAAGTTCACGTGCTATCCAACTATCCGTAAGTAAGGTGCGAGCATCATTGTGCAAACCAAAGAATGGTTGAAATTAGACCAACTGGATGCTGCCACGTCAAACAAAAGGCACCCATGGTGGTCAACGTGCTGTTTTGCAGTTAGCATATCACACCGTTCAGTTAGCTTAGTTTCGAAGGTGCATTCAATGGCGGACGCGTACTTCTCCTTGTTCTCCCTCGTCATTCTCCTTCCCCTCGCTCTTCTCGCCTTCCTCTACTTCCTTGTGCGGCCCCGCCCCGTCAAGATCCCAATCAAAAACCGCCACGTGTTCATCACCGGCGGATCCAGCGGCATCGGCCTCGCCCTCGCCCACCGCGCTGCGGCGGAGGGCGCTCGCGTCTCCATCCTCGCGCGGTCGGTGGACAAGCTCGAGGAGGCCAAGAACGCCATCCGCCTCGCCACCGGCATCGATGTGGCGGTGTTCGCCGCCGACGTGCGCGATTACGAGGCGGTGAAGCGTGCAGTCGAGGAGGCGGGGCCAATCGACGTGCTGCTCCTGAACCACGGGGTTTTCATGGCGCTGGAGCTGGAGAAGCAGGAATTGAGTGAGGTCAAGTTCACGATGGACGTGAATTTGATGGGGAGCTTCAACATGATCAAGGCTGCGTTGCCCGCAATGAGGAACAGGAAGGACCCGCTACCCGCTTCCATTGCTTTTGTTTCCTCTCAGGCCGGTCAGGTATACTCTTGATGAAATGTTACTTCGAATGTTTGTTACATGTGTTATATGAATGATCACCATCACCTTTGTTTTCTCAATAAACCCCAACTGGGAAACTGTTATATGTAATTTTCATTTTTAAATTTATTATTTACAAAACGTAGTTATAATATGGTATTAGTGAAGCAATTGTGTTCATAAACCTTTGGGAATGTTTTGGAACAAGAAATTGAGCCCCTAAGGGCTATTTTTGTATGGAGGAGAAAGGAAGGTTGCAGGGAAACCTTCTTGCTGGTTTAAGGAGTCTTATCATACGATCTCCAAAATCCTCATCTAAGGGAATGAAAATCATTTTATAACCCATCTTTCTCTTCCTTTCCCTTAGCTTCCATTACTGATAGAACAGTGGTTCCAAATATAGCTCTGAATGCTAAGATTGAGCCAAAGAAGAAGGCCCTACAATTATATTCTGGGGGGTCTAAACCCAAGGCCCAACTGGAGTTAGGAGGGAAGGTCTGTGCTGAGTGTGTGAGGGGAAGGAGAGTTAGTTATGGTGAAGTGGATCGGATTAAACTATTAAAGGAGAATGTTTCCTTGGAGTAGGTCAAGTTGGTTATAGTTTTTCAGCTTATAGCTGGGGCCTAGGAGTTATTCCTTGTATGGGAGCTTCTGCTTTTATATTTTCTGTATTTCAGTCCACAATTTCCATGAATGCAATCTACCAATAGTTTTGGTTCTATCACTTACCCTCCCCACATGCAAACATATCGTCTTAATGGTTAGCCTATAAGCAATGTTTCTAGAAATGTGGGCAAGCTCCGTCAGAGCAGGCTGCCATTTTTTTTAACATGGCTATTCAACACTGGGCACAAATAATACAATATTTACATAAATATTTTTCTTACTGTGGTTAAGTATGCAGAGAATGACTCTTCAAGGTTTGTAACTTGATGATTGATTGTGAGATAATTGAAGGTGTGTTTTATTTTTTTAATGTGGAATTATGTTTATATTTAGGTGGGAATTTATGGTTACGTAGCTTATTCCGCCAGTAAATTTGGCCTCCGTGGTTTAGCAGAAGCATTGCAACAAGAGGTTATAGCAGATAATATTCATGTCTCGCTGATTTTTCCTCCAGACACAGATACTCCTGGATTTTTAGAAGGTATTAAGTTGGATGTTTGAGCTTATTTCTTCATACATATTACTTTTGGTAATTCATCTAGCCTCATTTTACATTGAAAACAAAGTGACTAGCCTTTGTTAAACAACTTGTTAGTTTTCTTCAAGCTGACTATGGATGTGAAGAAGACAGGGAATCCATTACTCCATTGAAATTATTTAGTTTGTTACACATAATTCTGCATCAATTGCCAAATTTCTTTTATTAGTGAATCAATGTATGCTATCCTCCTTGTATGTCCGGCTTCCTTATTATCTGAATGTCTTTCCTTTTCTGTAAGTGATCTAAATTCATACACTTGAGTATATCGTCATATGGGATGTTATTTGATCAATCCTAATTAGAAATTTATAGAGAATGAATAGTTATAGCTGACATAATGAGTTTGAATACATGATTATAGAATATCCATTTAAAATTTATGCCCTCACTCATAGGTCCATAAAATGAAATATGTGCCTTTGGCTTGTCAAATATCTGTTTATATCATCTCTTGGGTAGTTTATGTCTGGTAATCCAAGTGGAAGTACACAAACTAAAAAGGTTAATTTTGCAGAAAACAAGAGAAAACCAGAGCTCACCAAAATCATTGCAGCCTCTTCTGGTGCTATGAAACCTGAGGAAGTTGCTCAGAAAGCTTTTAATGGCATAAAATGTGGCAGTTTTCTCATTTCATGCAATTTGGAAGGATTTGCACTATCCCTAGCAACTGCTGGTTTATCCCCTCAGAGATCATTCTTAATGGCATTTGTTGAGGTTGTTGCAGCTGGTATACTACGTATTGCAGCACTATGTATCCAGTGGACTTGGTATGGAAGTATAGAGAAGTGGCACAGCCAAAGAAAGGGTAAGTGCCGCACAAAATGATATATCTATGAAGGGATTTGGAAATCATCTCTTATTCTTCTTAATTTAATCAAACGAAGTCTCATTTGTCAAATAACTCATTAAGATTAATCAAGTTTTACTTATTCTATCTACTGATGCCTATAATTACCCACTTTTTAAATTAGTTCCTATGGTTAGAAAGATTCTGATAGGTTCTGAATTTAAAGTGAAAATTAGAAGGAAAACAACTAGGAGCAAGCTTATAAACATGGAATTTTGAAACAGTATTAAAATGGGACAGAAAAATAGAGTGTCAGAGAAGCAAAATGCTATCTCTACCCAATGGCTACAGCCACCTCAAATCGTCCAAATGATAAGATACCCCCTCCTTATGATACGCACAAGCAAAATCATTGCCACATCAGCTCACTATTTGTTACCTCAGCACTAAATTAACGGATGCCTAACAGTTGGTAATTGGGGGGGACCAGATTACAAACGTCTAGTAATTCGAAGTACCCATTTAGAAACTTTTAAACAATAGGGTCTAATTTATAATTGGATAAAAATATTATATATGACAAAATCATTTCTGCGGCCGCTGCACATAAAGCAAGCCAGGAAACAGTTTCGTATCCTGTCTTTTTTTTTAAGAAAAGCAGTGGGGCCTAGTTTTCTGTGTTAGCTCCAGATAGCAGCTCTTTGCACCCGTTGAGAAAAAGTGTGAGCAACAAAATAATTAAACATTAATAAACTTCAAAAGTGGTTACATAAGTTTAGATTGGATGTTAGTCATTAACAATTTGTTTTGCATGTAGTAAACTCATTAAGTTCCTTGGCTTTTGGAAGTCATAATTTACACTAGGGCAGTCTTTCTAATTAGTTTAGAAGAGTGATTTTATAATTTTTAGCTTTGGTTACAATTTTAAGAATTGTTCAATGACAAATTGAAAGGAAGAATTGGTTATTTATTTATTCACTTATTTGTTTTAAACTTTGTCTCCATTTAGCAAAATTTTAATATCCTCGAATTGTTGAAGCTTCTTTTATCACTCTTATCTGTAGTTTGCTTTCACATAATGACAGTGGAGTCCATCTACGCTGTAAATAAACATGCTGTTAAAAGAAATAACATTTTAATGTGAAAGCAATCAGTACATTGTAAAAGGTTAACTGAATGTTACTTTTATATCGCTGGAACCTCTTAAAGACTATATGCTGATTCAAATGAATCGCCTAAAGCTTGTGAATTTGATGATTTCTACTTCTAACAGGTATACCCCAAAGGAGCTGAAACACTCTTGAGTTCTATGCCCTGTTTTAGGAGAGTTATATGCAGATACTGGGATGTCGTTTTCTTCCACTCTGTTTTAGTTGAGATTAATATAGGGAAATTTTGAATGATTGTTAACAAATGAGAACTACATAAACATCAAGTTGTTCAAGTTTGTCGTTTCCTTTGTGCTTGGTAGAGAAAGTATAAAATGAAAATAAGGTGCATCTCGTTTTCAACTATCAATTTTGTTGTGTTAAGCAAATGAAATGATTAGCAATTTAGTATCATAAATTTTGAACCGTTCATTTTCCGCCGTCCTACTTTTAATTGTATCAAGTTGGTCCTGTAAATGTATTTTGTTAGTAAAAGGGGTATGCTTCCAATTCTTTGAGGAGTATGATGTTTTGCTCTCATTGTTGGATTTATTAGTAGATATTTGTGTTAATTATGTAAACTGTGAAAATGGAGATTTTGAGTATGTTTAAGGTTTTTGGATTGAATTAGTTCTTTATATGATATCAGACCCTCAGTAATCACAAGGTCACGAGTTCGATCCTCACACTTGTGGAACTAAATAAACATAAGGTAAAATCAAAAAAATTAGGTCTATGCAATATTCACGTTTCAAGTCTAAATGACTCTTACGTGAGGAGGTGTGTTAGAGAATAATATAAATTATTAAAAAGGCTTTCATCAAACACCTTAAGATTTTTGGTTGAAGTGGTTCTTTACATGGTTTCAGACCTTCAATATCTCGGGTTTAATTATGGAAACAAGTGTTTTGTGCGTTTTTTTTTGTTTTGAAAGTTAAAAGTTAAAATATAAAACAAAAATAATTGATATGTTGTATAAATTTGATTCTAAAAACAAAAAATAGTTATAATTTATAATTTTTTTTGTACAAAACAAGCCTAATTAAATAGATTTTTTGTTCTGAAAATCAAAATTTTATTTTTAAAAATAATATTCAAACATGCCTTCATCTTGTGTTTTCTTTGTTTCTTCCTTTATGTGTTTCGGAAGGCACATAATTTGTGCTCCTTACATCAAAGATATCATTTTCCTCTGCTCAGCATTTGTATAAAATAGAATCTTGGTGTAACTGAAGATATTTGATAGGGACTGTGCTTATTGGTTAATTGGCCAAGTACTGTAACTTCTAAGCTAACAATAAGTGTAATTTATTCTCGTTCAGAATAGATAACGGTAAAAAAGCTTATCAAAATCGCACATTGCTAAAGTGACTAAGATTTAGTGATAAGGGGTTTAAAGAGTTTGTATAAATTGATAAGTTTGAATTTCACTGCCACAATTGTATCTAAAAAAAAGTCACACGTCGCTAATACATTTTGTGTTATTAAAACATTTTTTTCCACAAAAGTCACTTTTTTTTTTTTATGCAAGGGCCCATGCAAATACGCGTGTGCCATCTATTGCACCCAGTGGCGGATCCAGAAAATTAACGAAGGTGGGCACTCAACAAGTTCATGTACTTATAGATTTAGGTCTGGTCTGGAACGCGACTTGCGAGCAGCTGTTGGCTGACTGGATCTGGTTTAGATCTAGATCTGGACGGATTGTGACTCAATTAGATCGATGATGGAGGAAGAAGCAAATGTTTCAACTTCCAATAACGGAGATTAAGATCTGAGAGGAGATAAATCAGTATGTATATGCAAATGATGGGTCTGGAACAGAGCTCTATGCTGTTAGATTTGGATAATAAAGGTGGAGGAGAAAAAATAATCACGAGAAAATAAAATAGAAGGAGAAAAATTAAAGGGGCAGGATATCGTAACAACCAACTAGGGTTACTACCAATCAATTTCACCGTTAAATCGATTATGTTGATCCAATGATTACATTTATTTTTATCTTTGTATGGTTATGATCCCCATATTTAATGTAAAAGCATTAAATATGAGAAATCATAACCATACAAAAGTGAAAATAAATATAAAGTATCAAATACGGGGAATCATAATTATAAAAAGATGAAAATAAATATAACCGTTGGATCAACATAATCGATCTAACAGTGAAAATGATTAGTAATAATATTAGTAGTAACCCTAATTAATTGTTATAATATCCTATCCCGAAATTAAATTGAAAAAACTTGAATTTTAACATAAGTGTATTTTTGTATTTTTACTCATATTTTAACGGTGGGCACTTATCCCCTTCTCATCTACCTCCATCCGTCTCAGATTGCACCAATGCAATTATACATAAAATAATATGTCACTAATCAAGTATAACAACTAATATACTTTGATCACCTAAACAAGAGGATTTATACAGAAATGGTTAACTCGAAATATGGGAATTATTTTTTGTCGGTGAGTTGTCCTTTTTAATTTCTTTGTCGAATGATTATCCTTCCTAGTTTGCATACCGCCCTTAAGATCCTTGTAAACCACTTGCTTAATATATGGTTTTAGTGTTCAAATCTTTTAGCAACAACACGTTCTGACACATTTTCATCAAGAACATTGCTACCTCCCCCTAAACTTACTTTATTGCCATCCCTCAAATTTGCTGCATATCTTAAGGTCTCATAGAAATTAAAAAATACATGTTTCTCCGTTCAAAAGCTTTAATAACATCTAGCTTCATGGTCATCTTAGAGCATAAGAGTATACATCGTCCCAATGAACATAGAAGTCTTGCATGGTATCTTGGTAATAAAACTCCTTTGGTATTCCATAATTAACTGAAATGTAATTAAGCCAAAGTTTTCTCCTTTAACTAACTCTGATACTTAATATCGAGTCCAACTAAGAGCCTGTTTGGATGAGCTTTTTTTTCTTCAAAAGTTGTTTTTTTCAAGAAAAAAAAGTATTTTTCATTTTTAGTTCGTTTGGATGTCTCCTTTTAAAAAAAGGAGAAGTCATAAAAAAAGTCAAAAACCTACTTTTTTCAGAAGCTAAAAATTTTAACTTCTAAAAAATAACAGAAGTCAAAAGTCAAATATTTTTATAAAAATATAAATAGCTTTAACTTTTGTAAAAAGTACTTTTAAAATAAGGAAGTGATAAAAGTTACTTTTTCTAAAATCACCTCTAAATGAGTGAACCAGCCAAGCAAGTGAGATCTGAAGGGAAGAGAAGAATTTTGGAAATAAAACATTCATTATAATTACAAGTGTGCCACCACGTTTTCAAAAGATGTTATTAGTTTTAGAATTTTGTTTTTTCAAGAAAATAACGAAAACAACTTTTTGGAGTTTTCGAATTGCTTCAGTAATTCAAGAAACATTTATGAAGAAAATGTTTTCATTATATAACAAGCCAAACTCATTTTCAACACTATTTTCAATTTTTCTAGTAAATTAAAATTTTAAAAAAACCAAAACCAATTTGTTTTTAAGTTCTAAGATTTCTTGATCGTTAGTGTCCCTTTAAATAAATTGACAAGTAAGCCACAAGTTAAATAAGTACCTTGTCTGAAAATCACTTGACGTGCAATACATGGGCTACAAAATGAAAATGAAGAACCAATATTTATCAAAGCAACAGTGACGTGGACTCGAGACTACAAATCTCAAATTTCTAAAGCTCACGTGACTACCGACACACACTACGGCTAAGAAAGTAAGCAAGTTGAGAAATGGGACACTCATTAGCCACTCATATCAAATGGAAAAATTCTAAAGTATACTGGGAGGAGCACTTTCAACAACAAAAAATTTCATTATATATAACTTTAAATTTAATTAAAGAGTATGTATAGTTATGGCTTTCATATGTTATGCAAATTAAGAGTAGTATTTTAATAACACATAAAAACTTATCAAATCAAACTTAAAGTGTTACTCATAAAAAGTTCCCAAATACTGATGATATTGATACTACTGGACCCTGATTGGAATGAAAAAACCACAAGAAGGTGGAAATCAGATAAGAATCTTTGGGACAAAAACTCATTTGTCGCCTATTCAAATGAGGGCTATGAATATTTAGAGCCATAACTTACTGTCTTGGGAGATGAGAAGGAGAGAGAATGAGACACATCCACTACCAGATTGAATGAATATCTGGACATGGGTTGTTACTTGCTGTTCCTAATCTCTTTTGATCAATAGAATAATATCACAACACACTTCCATGATTCTTGTGGGTCTTAGCCAGATTGGCCAACTGTGACCATGACCCCACCAACCCACATGACCACCCCTTATATCTCAACTCACCCATCCTTGCCTTTTTGCCTATATAATAAACCTACATATCCACAAGTTTTGGAGAAAAGAAAAAACATAGAAAGAGAGATATATATTATATATATATATATATATATACATACATAATTGAAAGAGTAAGATTAGAAACTCTTATAATTGGTTTCATGCCAAATTAGAGAACTCTTTTAGTTGTCATTTAGATTACATAGATATGGATGTTGCTTTGGAACTAGAAGATGATCTATTTTTTGCAGATTTGTGCAAGGAAATTGCTCTCCTAATTATGGATGAAGATGAAGACCCTTTTGCTTCTCATCCTGCAGATTCTATTCAGGTTCTTTACCACTTGCATCTCCTCAAACACATGCATCATCATATCATACATACTTTTTTTCCCCCCCCTTCTTCCAGTTATGGCAATATGAGAAGATGTTTTTATCCAATATAGTCTTTTTAACATGATTAGATTAATTTTCAGGCGTTTTCTGGAGCAATTCATCCTCCACCACAGTTTGTTTTCCTCTATGAGCAGCCTTTGAGAAGAGAAAGCAAGGGAACAGGTGTGTTTATCCCTCAGGCTACACAGCCAAGAAGGAAGCACAGGAAAGGAAGATCAAGTTCATATGCAAAATTTCAAAAGCAATCACAAGATCCAAGAATGGTTTCTCAAGCTCCTAATAACAAGAATTCTTTCAAACAGAGAAATGGCTGAGGATACATAGATCCTTCTGAAAAACTGCATCATTGTACAAATTTTATTGTTTAATTATTTATGGGTCTAAATTCTTTAGCCTCTAGCCAATAATTCTACTGTTAATTAATTTGTATTACTCATATATAGGTGATTAGGTACATGGGAAAACCATATATACCTAAATATTTGTCATTATGTAGGAAGGTTCACCTAAGGTTTTGCAACTCTCCACTGTGGAGAAGTATTTCGTTGTTATCTGGTTTCATAGATAAGTTTGTCCTTGTTTCAGTTAATGGTATTAATGATATTATTTGTTTCATATTTTTCTCTGTTTTCCTCTCTGTTCATTATATAACTGCAAATTATCCTTTGTTTTTTAATTAGTATCTCAAGTTCATATGCTTTTATGTTTATGATAAGAATGGAAAAGATAAAAAAAAAGAGAGGGGAAAAATCAAAATCATACGTTAAGGCTAGATATATAAGGTTTCACTCTATTCTATTTAGTCCTCCCAAGTTTATGGTTTTACCTCCATCAACCGTATGTATTTTCAACATGGTTGATTTCCCAATCAGAGATAAACGGTCAATAAATCCTTCACATTTTTATATATGAAAATCCAGAGCATATTTTTCTTAGAAAAATAGTATAGTTCCTCGAGTAAGATAAGGCTGCAATTTGAATATGGATTTCTAGATCCTGATTAAAATCAGTAGTAGTATATGAAGAGAGAGACTTTTGGTAATGAATACTAAAGTGAAAGCTTCTAACGATTGCTTTCCAGAAAGACAACCCCAAAGAAAAAGTCATTTTAACGAAGGGAAAAACTACTTTTATATGCTACATGTGATAAATTTTTTTTCTACACACTCTTCGATAACTGTGTCACCTTTTTTTTTTCTTTTTATTTTTCAGGTGGTGAAGCCCACAAATTTATCTCTATGACATGAGATAACTTATCTCTTTTAACATGAGATTAATAAAACCCTTTAATCAAATAGTAATAATTAAGTTGGTAACAAAGGAGTTGAGTAAATAAAAAAGAAAGAGTCTCGATTTAATTCTCATATATTAACTTTGAGAGTAATTTAAATATTTTTATTCCTGATCCATCTTACACTTCAAATTAATTTTATAACTGGCTTTAAAGAATCAAAGCTTATGAGAATACTGAGAAACCAACTTACCTCAAACAATTAATTAAGGTTGGGTTAACTTCCAAAAACAAAAATCTAACTTTAAAATAATATTTTGTTGACTCTATCATTTACTAGATCCTTTTAGCACAGTTGGAAAAGTGGTGTAACGGTGTATATGATTGCAAGCATAAGCTTTGGGATTTGCTTTTAATATTAAAATTGCCAATCAATTATTCTCGGCCAACTTGGCAAGTTTTGCTGTTTAAGGATGCTCTATTATGGTTGTCATGGAGTCTCATTCTGTCCTTATTTTTTTTTCTCTTTTCTTACAAGAAACCTTTTTTTTAATAAGAAAAATGATTCTTACCAGAAACTTTCTTTCTAGCCGACACCCTCAAGAAAAATGATTTTTGTAAGAAACCATTAGATATATTTTCCATTTCTAAGTTAAAAACGTCTTAAAAAATTCTGCCTAAAAATTTCTCCATGACAAGCGCAATGATGCACTGCATCACATCAATCATACATTTATAGAGACATGTAGTATAAATATGAAACCTCATATAACTTTCAGGTTCATTCACTATTGTAATGCAACAAGTTACAAAGACCTTCATTTTCTTTGCTATAAGTTAATGAGGGACCCAATGACAGCGAAGAAAAACCAAATAACCAAAGGGACAGAGATGCCTCTTGGATTTTTAGGAAGTCTTCGCCATATGGAATCTTCAAGGTAACCTAGTTATACGCACTTTGGAAAAAGTTGTTTTCTAACGAACTTATTTTTAAAATGATCAATTATTTATATTTTTTTTAATTTAAGGTAATTCACAAAGATGAAGAAAATTATTGAATAAATATTAATTTTGAGAAAAAATGAAGCTGCATTTAATTAAATTAAGCTTCATTAAAATACTCAATTATAATTAGGAGTAGGATATTGTAACAATCAATTAGGGTTACTACCAATCAATTTCACAGTTAGATCGATTATGTTGATTCAACGGTTATATTTATTTACATCTTTGTATGATTATAACTTCTCATATTTAATATTTAATATTTATTTTTACCTTTGTATGGTTATGATTTTTCATATTTAATGTTCACATTAAATATGAGAAATCATAACCATATAAAGATGAAAATAAATATAATTATTCGATCAACATAATCGATCTAACGGTGAAATTGATTGGTAAGTTACAACATCCTCTCTCTTATAATTATGTACCTTATATTATAAATTACATGTTCAAATACCCAAAAAGGAAAGGCCGGATGAATTGGGCCATCATGTAAAATGAAAAGGCCCATAGATATTGGAATGTTCCATTTCAGTTCTCAACGTGTGGAAGTGAAAGGAAGGAAAGGAATCCAACAACATTGGAGAAGTTTGGCAATGGCATCTGCTATGGTGAATCGAGCGATGAAATTGAAATCAGCTGCAGCTCTTATGATTACGAGGTCTTACGCAAAGGTTGCAACTGGGACTGACATAGTCTCGGCTGCACCCAATGTTTCTCTCCAGAAAGCTCGTACCTGGGACGAAGGCGTCGCTTCCAAGTTCTCCACCACTCCTCTCACTGACATTTTCAAGGTACAATCTAACTATCCTATTCTTATTTTAATAACCCTTTTTACCTTTTCGTTCAATAACTAATTTTTCCTTTCAATTTGATGTCTCAGGACAAGAAAGTTGTCATCTTTGGCCTCCCAGTAAGTTAACTTTACAGTGTTTTTATAAGTTGATGTATATTATTGTTGTCTCTTTGGTCTTTGTTGTACTTGTTTTGTTAAATTCAGTACCATTTTAATGTTCTAGGAAATGGAATTGTTTGAAAGAAATGTGCTTTGTTTTTATTATTATTAATCCAAAAAAATAATGTTTTTGATGGTTTGGGTATCTCTCAGGGTGCATACACAGGGGTTTGTTCAAGCAAACATGTTCCTCCTTACAAGGATAATAGTGAGAAGTTTAAGGCTAAGGGGATTGATTCTGTTATTTGTGTGGCTATCAATGATCCATATACTATGCATGCGTGGGCTGAGAATCTTCAAGCCACAGATGCTGTGAGTTATCCCTGTCTTCTTGTCTTACTATTAAAGGCTTCTTCATGTGCTTTGAGGGTTTTTCCTCCTTTGCATTTGCATTGGTGATTAGTTTTACTTTTTATCCTTGAAGAATCCTTGTGTTAGTTTACATACAATTCTGTTTCATTTTTTTGTTATTTTTTTGTTGTTGTGGACTTTGTAGCATCACAACTAAAGGAACATTCATTCTGTAAACTCATTTCTAATTGAGTTCGGGATGTCCTTGTGCTGCATTGTCATCTTGTTAGTGCTGGTCATGAATTTGAAGAAGATAATCAATAGTTTATTTCTGCTAGCATTCAGTTTAAAGATAACAGGAAGGGGTTTATGAGAACTTGAATCTCTTGGAAGTCTATAATTTTTTCAATCCATGTGAAGTTTGAGCTCTTCAGTATACATGATATGTTCAGTAACTTAGTATGGAGATTTTTATGTTGATTATCATGCATCAACCAATACCTTGATGAGTTAGGATGTTATTATTTTTTTTTTATGAATTTGGTTATGAGTGTTGCCTTTTTTTATTTCAAATTTTTCTTCCAGATTGAGTTTTATGGGGACTTTGATGGTAGCTTTCACAAAAGCTTGGAATTAGTTACTGATCTCTCTGGTGCTTTACTTGGAACTCGATCTGAAAGGTATATTATATACCCTCCTTGAACTAGGATTGGACTCGTTCACATGAACATTTGTTTGGTTTTGATGTATAAGAAAACTTGCTTTGTTCCATTATTTTAAAACTAGACCAAATGTCAAGACAGTGAGATCACAAGTTCAGATTTAAAAAAAATTAAAATGGATGTGAAGTAGTGAAGAAATTACCAAATAATGGCAACATAGCAAAGAAAATATATATATAACAATGTCAAACTATTTTCATGCTCATAAATGTATAATTTTAAAGAGGAAAGAGACATTATACGTATGATTCAGAAGTTCAAATTTAAAAGTAATAATAATAATAGAGGAGCGATATTCTTACAACCTAAAAGTTTTACAACCTATTTTTTCACCGTTTATTTCCGTCAATCCAACGATTATGATTTACCGGGTCACATTTATTATTAATTATTACTTTCCAATAAATTATAACCATTGAATTGACAGAAATCAACTATGAAAATATAAGTTGTAAGAGGTTGTAAAACTTTTAGGTTGTAAGAATAACGTTCCTTTTAATAATAGTAACTAATTCTGATTCAACCTGGTTTGTTACCGGTTTTTGAGTCTTGGGGGTAACCATACCAGGAGCATGACCAATTGATGGTTAAATTGATTGGACAGCTAGTCCTTAGAAGTTAGAACTGTGCTTTCGGCACAAGACACATCTATTATGTCTTTCATTATAGATTTCAAATTTCTAAAGAGTAGCTGTTGTTTCTATGTAGATGGTCTGCATATGTGGTAGACGGAAAGATTAAGGCTCTTAATGTTGAAGAAGCTCCCTCTGATGTCAAGGTTTCTGGCGCAGATACCATTTTGGGACAGATTTGAAGTATCTGTTAGTTTGTATGTATGTAGAAAGTCTACAATATAATAATGTACCTGATCAAATGTTGCAACTCGAGAGTTTCTGTTGGATCACTTATTTTTGAGTATTGGACTTCTTTCTGTTGTCACTGATCCCTTTTTCCCGGATGCAATGTTATAGGCAGAAATAAGTTTCTGGTATGCATTATTATCAGATGTATGTTTGGTATCCCCTCGCTTTTTGTAATTATTTACTGTCTCACTTTAAAGCATGTTATTCGTTATTTACAATCCTCTTGTGACACATCTTGAGCCATATTCAATCGCTCACTTGTGTGATCCATTGATGAATTTCTGTTATTTATTTTAGAAAAATTGGCCCGAGAAGCCTGCATAGGTGGCTTTATTGAGCTTATATACAAGGTGATGCAAGTAGATTTCCTCTTTGAGAATTCCGTTTTAAGAACTCATTGTTCCTATGAATTTGTTTGATAGTCTAGCCACGATTAAGAAGAATGCTGAGAACCACTAGGACTGGAAGGTCTCATTAATGTTAGAAACCTGCCTCTGCCTTTTGGTGAAATCGCTTTGCCACTAATCGATCTTGTTTTTCTAATTAAAATACTCTTCACTGAGAGCCATTCAATTCATCAGCTTCTGGGGAGTATTTCGAAGGTACCACCAATAAAGCTTGCAGCCTGACTTCGAGAAAGTTTTATTCATTGACTTGAATGATACTACGTTCGAGAACGCAACTTTAACATAGAACTGCCCTATCACCTAACTGACTTTTAACAATGTTAATTACACCTTTTATATGGACGATCAAGATTGGATTTGAGCATTATCGGATCCATAGTGATAAGAAACCTGGACCGACGGGGGAACCAGTAAACTGGTTATATAACCAGTCCTATTGAAGCAACGGATTGGTCATGCATCAGAACCGGTGCGACCCGATCTGACCCAGCCGGTTTTCATGAAAATCGGTGATTCAGTGACCCGGCCCGATCCTGAAAAAAAAAATCATAATAGACATATTTGAATATTTTTTTGCTTATTGACTTACATAAGTTATGTACCTACAACACTAATATTATCTTAATTATGCACTATGCAAAAAAGTTTGATTTGATTTATAGTTAGAGATGTCATTTTCTGAACCTAAAACCCTGTATCATGATCATTATATTTTTGTTTGACCTTTTATTGGATAATAATATATGATTTATTATTTTTTATATTAAAATATTTGAAATTTTTATCATTTTTTTAGATATTTGAGTATGTTTATAATTTTTCAATATAAATTATAAAATTGCCGGGTCATGCGGTTGACCCAGTGATCCACTGATTGAACCAGTGACCCAGTTCCTCGACCGGGTCAATGACCAGATCAGTTTTAATAACATTGCTCCCAAGATATTAATTCAAGACATCTGATTAAGGGGGAAACAAATTTCTTATCACTTTAATAAATTATTGTTGGTGACTTTTAACATATGTTAACTGCACCTTTATATGAATGAGCAAAATTCTATTTTACATATTTACATAAAAGTCACATGATCATTTAAATAAGCCACATTTATGTTCTAATCCTAACCCTTTAGTAAAATCCAATGATCAAAATTCACCCCTTTTACCTCACAGTAAACACCCCTTTCACTATATATATACACACTAAATCTTAAAATATCTTTAGGATTTATAATATTATGTAAATCTAATATTAATTTTATATGTTGCAGTCCAATTAAATTCTCTTGTGATTTTCAAAATTTCCAGTGTCGTCATATCAGTGTCATAGGTATGCGTCTTATCCGTACTTCCCAGGGCGAGGCAGTGAAACAACTGCATATGTAACATGAGTGACATTTAGTCTGGAAGTTACCAATGTTAATCACCAAATTAGCAAAATTAGAGACTTCAGAGCGTAGTACATCTAAATTATTTCATTAAAGCGAAATCATGTATTGGCATGTAAAGGAAAAATAAAAAAACGATAAACATAGATACGGATCCATGAAACTATATCTAATATAAGTGCATTAAATAATCTTCCAACAGAAGAAACCGCAGGCTCTATAAATAGATCATTACATGTTTTTAACTCCTACAAATGATTGACCATTGATAACAATGCAGGACGCATACCAACAGGTACATTGGTTATCAAAGTCGTCTCTTGCACTTCTTGGACAAGTGAGACAGCATAAAATAGTTGATCTTCCCGAGCTAAATCTTCACAGCATCATGCCCACTCTGAATGAAGAAAGTAAACACAGTGAAAGCTTTAGTCACCTTTCAAGCAATATCATTAAAAATTAGTCTAGAGACATCCATCATTTCCAAAATGCAATTGAGACACCTAATTTCTTTTAGAGCAACAGTAAACACTGTACCAATTGGAGGAGTTTTTTATTTCATCAAGATAACTAATTTATAACCGCTACCCAAATTACCAAAAACAAACTCATTTCTACCCAAATTTCAAACCAGCTTAAGCTGCATCCAGGCCAAAGAAGCAGAGAAATTGCTTCTGTATTGTTTATTTATTTTCAATCTGTTTCTTTTTTCTTCTTTTATCTTCTGTGGAAGATAATTCCCTCAGAAATCATAAATCCAGATTACTTAGAAAGTCCAACACCAGTTAACTTCTTGTAATCAACTAATTTTCAAAGTACAAACTAAGGGATTTTATAGATGGAGTAACCTGAACAAATTGAGGAATTTCCATTCGACCACCAACCATGCTAGAAACAAGTGAGGGAGCATCTGAACTAACATCATGAACCAAATCTCCATTCTCTTCATTAGGAGAATGCCCAATGCCATTCTCTTCGACAAACTTTCCTTCTTCAGGGAAGCCCGAAGTTCCCCCAGTATGGACAGGAATGAGAGGTGAACTGGACCGTTTTGAGGTAAGGTCAAGGCGTTCTATCATCCGTGCAACTCCAGCTATGCCTGCATTCATCTCACGCTGAACACCTTTGCTCAGCTCTTTTACTGAGGCATTACGTGCAAGTAGTTTCTCTTTAAGGCCTCGGGTACTTTTTGAAATTGATTCCCTATATCTGATGCAAGATTTCAGATATATTAGCACTAAAGGATAATAGGAGCATACAAGTATTCAAGTGATAACATGTTTACCTGGCTGAAGCAGCAGAAAATTTGGTTTTGAAGGATTCAGGAAGGGAGAACATCTCAGAAGTGTTAAGTCTCCTCACACTCTCAGGCGGTGGCTGGGGATAGAGAACTCTGAACATGACCAAGGAAATAGTAAACAAATGAAAATCAGTAAGTGAAAAATCAAGGAAAAAGCTTCCCAATAAATAACAGATGCCACTGCTTTATACCTAAAGTCTGATACAACCAGTACCTGGGTCTGTAGGGGACATCACTCTCAGGACTAGTATTTCTTGCAACCTCATCCACAATAGGGGAAAAAGCAGATGTTGGAGGTTGAATGTCAACTGCAGATGGTATGCCAGAAGTTGGTGAACTACCACCAGATGGTGAAGTTGTAAGTGTTCGTTGCACCGTGGACACATGCGCAGAAGATTCAAAAACAAGAACCTCTGATGGACCCGCTCCAGATGATCTCTGCCTTTCCCGTCTCTGAACAAAACGAGCTCTACTTGCAGCAGCAACTAGGTGCTGCATAATTTGTTCATCAAAATCAGAGTCATCTGAGCAAGAATCATCCTGCAACAAAATAATTGGTCTCTCATCATTGAATGATAGTATGATACGTGTATTAAGGAAACCAAAGCCAATAAATATTAACTCAACAAAAGTACAAAACAGTTCCATAACACTATCAATTCTTAGATATCTCACTCACATTGTCATCAATAAGCCGTTCAAGGGGGATGCGAGAATTAGTGAATGAAGATGAATATATGTTTCTTGATCTCAAGCTTTTTTCAGCCTCCACTGCAGCTAGAAGCTCTTGGCTACAAAAATATAGGTGATTGATGAAAACTGCTAATCATACCCACCAAAGGCTTGTATCAAGTATTCTAGAGGGAGGGAGTAAAGGCAAGAGACTTTTGGGGAGGGGAGGCAGGGTTGCAAGTGAATATACCTGGCAGGGTCTTTCAAAGCAAGTGATTGCCAACATATTGGGCACTCTTTGCTTCTCTGTGACCTAAAAGGAAAAAAGAAGAGAGTTCTGTTGGAAGCAGCCAATCACAATTCACATTATTGTCCATGTTTGCAAAAAACAAAGATACAGTTTCTTCATGTAAAAGATAAAAAAAAGATCTATAATCTATTTATCAAGCAATTAGGCTTACCACTCAAGAATGCAATGCAGGTGATATTCATGTTTGCAACAGGTAACCTGGAATTGAAAAAGAAGCATATCAATACGTTTGTTCAACATAATATCTGCAGCTTCCAATTTTTCCTTTTGATTATCTAAAGGTTGCAACTCATCCACACATAGAGCATATTTAGGCATAATAATAATTAAAAAAAACAAAACAGATATCTCGTTGCTGAAGAAATGTTCAACACGCACAGGATTCAACAATATCAATCATCGAATACACTTTGAGATCTAGAAGCTAAAAAATTAATCCTCATCCACACTTTAAAAAAATTATTAATTAGTGAAAGAATAAGAAAAAACAGCAAAATTGGTTTCTTCAAATGTGCACATAACTACATGACAGAATATAATAGTATGATTTAATTTCCGGTTGCTTCAATGTGTATTATTCTTTATGATGCTTAAACATACACCACGGCATGGCCAAATTTCTCCAAGATTTGCATCAGTGCAGACACTGTCGCTGACAGAAGCTGATCCTCACATGTATCTCAAAATAAAATAAAATAACAACCATAAATTTCTAAGCAAGTTCAATCAAAATAATAGGACCCTAAACCACAAAACACACACAGAAAGAGTCCCGGTCTAATACCCCAGCAAAAATCAAAACTTTAACAGCTAACAAGTCAAGTTCTGGAAGGTTATCAAAATTCAACATGACTGAACCAACAAGCTAATGGGAATGCGACCACTCGTTCAAGTTCGTAACTTTTTCAGAAACCCAAATTCACAAACCAGAAAAGAGAATAAAAACAGTGGTTGATCACATCATACAGTGGATGGGTCATGGATGCCGAAGGGCTCTAGACATATACTGCAGGAGTCCTCAGAAGAGTCGTCGAAAGCTGCAGAAGACGATGAAGCTGAAAAGGATGGAATGCGTGACACAGACGGAGGAGGGGAACATGAAGATAAGGATGTCAAATTTGCCATGGTTAGCTGCACAGTGGTTTGGTGAAGAAGAAGAAGAACCCTAGAAATGGATGGAGATAGAGAGAGTGTGTGAGTAAAAGGTCAAAGAAAAAAAAAGGATTAAAGGAAAGAAGAGACAGAGGAAAGGAGGGAGAAAATGCAGGTAAAATCCGATTCAGACGGTTTGATGAAATCAACGTATGACTCATCTGTCCATGGATTTTTGTTTTGTAACTCTTCATTATTAATCTCTAAATATTATATTCATTAATTACTTTGCTTTTAGATTTTATTTTTTTTGGTAAATTGCTTTTAGATTCTATTTGAATTAATGTATAGGGAAAATTATATGTTATTTTAAATGATATAAAGTTGTGTTAGGTTAAGAGAGAGAAAGAGATAGATAAAGACCCAATGGGTGCAGCTCAGTTGGTAACTTGGCGCTGAGTTAGTGGGGTTGGATATGTGTTCGATTCCCGCTGAATGCATTCTTGGGGAGGGGGCTGAACCTTTAGCCATCACTGTTCCCCCGCACTCCGGATTAGTCCCATAGCCGGCTCAAAGAGTCGAAGCTCGTGGGGATACCGAAGGGAGCCAACTCGTCTCAAAGAGATAATTAGGGTTGGGTAACTCCAAAAAAAAAAAAAAAAAGAAAGAGATAGATAAAGGAGGTGAGAGAGTTGACAAAAAACATAAAGATGTGGGTCTTACCTCTTTATGAGAGTGAAAGTATATAAGTTGTATCATTTAAAAGGATAAATATTTTTCTCTAATATGTATTATGTTATATAAGATAATTTTATCTTTTATATATATATATAAAATCACTTGAAATTCACATATGATTACATAAAAGAGAAAAAATTAAAGAATATAAATGGCCTCACATAATTTTATATTTATACGACAGATAAAATTATCTCAAAAAAATATTAATTTCATATTTAACGTTTTATGATCTTTTTTCTGCACCGTATGTTGCCCGCTATTTTGTACTCAATCCCGTTATACTTATACTGTACTCTCTAAAAGTTTTGTACTTGTCTTTTATCCCAATTATTATTATTTTTTGGTAAAAACTTTCCACTAGGATTATTCTTTTCCCTAATATACCAAAATTCTTGTGAACATTGCTGAAAACTAACGTCTCCTCCTCTTCCTATATGAAACGTTATTCTATGAAATAGAAATAGAAAAGATTGAGTTATAATGGATGAGTATTGTTTACTTAAGTAAAAAAGTTTGAATATTAAAATAAAAAATATCTCAAACTTTTTTTTTTAAAAAAAATTTATTTATAAACATACACATGTCCATTATATCACCCGCATACAAATTTAATAATACTATTTACCCAAAAGAAATAGTTTTAATAAATTGTGTGGGTGGATGGCAGGTTGAGCTCCATCAAGGTAAAGACTAATGTCATAGTGTTCAGGGCGATGCAGTGGGACCAGTAAGGCATGTGGCTACCAAAATAATCAACCATGTGTTTAGATGAGAGCATCAGAAGCTGCCTAGTGTATGTCGTGTCGGTGTGATTAAGAATTTTAAGGGAAACGCCCAAACAAAGTCCCACTTAGTTGCCCTAGGCTTTGCAAGAATGCTCTGGTTTTTACTCTTGTTCATTGTCAGCAAAAACTCTTAATTAATCGTAGATTCTTCTTCCATTTATTTTGCAATAAATTAGAATGGTTTGATCAAATAGAATCAAGGGTTAATAAATAAATGATATAAGAATTTTTGTACTTACACCTGTATAGGTTCATATATCCCTACATATCTATATCTATATCTACATTTATATGAGATATGATATTATGTTATATTTTTTCATGTCTACTCTACTTATTTTTTTATAAAGTAGATAGAAAGGATAAATATTAGTTGAGATGAGTAGATAAAATAGACATGAAAAAAAATAGACACAATATCTTATCTTTATTTTTTTATTTTTTTTGGTGAAGTATCTTTATTTATATACACAGGGTGAGAATCATTTTGTACTGATAAACAATATTATATTCTTAATTTTGAGTGTTAAACTCATTCACACCTAACAACTTTAATCTTTTAGTTATGTAATTCGTCGGATACAAATAAATTAATGGCAAGAAAGAGTGAGTGTAACAAGAACGTGCTATATAATCATGATTGAATCTTTATCTACCCATTTACACGGCACACTGATGCTATTGCAATATGAATAAAACGTTTTATTATTTATAAAATGAGAACAAAAAGTGGGCATACTAACTCCCAAGTTGTAGTAGTTATTTTGTTTGATTCCCGTCCCATTCAAAATAGGTCAAACAAAATTTTAGTATATAATACCGTAATGATTTTACAAATGATGGTGAAGTTACTATACGATAAATCCATCTTCAATTACTGAGTTTTTCAATACAACGGTAATACCAGAACGGATGTAAAAACCTTGTGAAGATCTATCAGCCTCTTGAACACCCTGCAGTTCATGCACTAGCAAATTTAGTACAAGTGTGACCGAAAAAATAAAATCATTAATTAATCAATTGTTATAACATTTTATTGTTGAATTCTCATGACAATACCAACAATTTATTTTATTACTTAACGCTGTGATGTTCATGTACTCCCAAGCAATAAAGTTCTGGCTTCACAAATCTTACAAGATATGTCAATATTATTCTCTAAAATTACAGTGACTGTCTCACACTGTGTGAGGTGAGTAATCTTAAATGTTTAGTAAAATGTTAATTGAGGTTCAGTTAGGAGTGTGTGAATCAAATGTATGAGAATATAATCACTTCCAATAAAGCATATTGGGTAACTATTGTTAGGTGTGTGTATCACATGTGGTCCTCAGATACTGCTCTAAAAAAGAATAATCATACCTCTGAATTTTCTATTACAACGTTCTTTCCAATTCTTGCATTTTTGTCAATAATGCAGTCTCTGCAGATATGCAAGAAAAAGTGAGAAAATGCAGCAAGAGAAACTGAATGGTCAAGAGAGTGAGAGTTGCAGGTTGTACTTGATTCTTGTATTTTCTCCTATTCCTGTTGGAACTCTTCCCTCAGCTAACAGTGCTCCCACTTCAGAGTCAGTTTCATAGAAATCAGCACCAAGCATTACTGTATCCTGCGTATAGATGTGTAATACAATACCTCTAGATGAGGATATATGCCAAGAAAATAAACATACCAAAATATACATTCTAACTAAGATTATTTATTATATTTGAACAAGAAACTTATGGAATGTTAAACCTATAAATTTAGAATTGCTAGTTTGCTACATTATCGATAAAGAGTAGTGGTATTTACACATCAAAATCTTCACTAAACTTTGTTTTTTTGGGTAAAGAAGGGTAGACAGATAATATATTGGAATGTGTATTCTTCTTGTTTTATTATCTAAAATGAAAGTGGTGTAAGAATGGTATTAGATTTTTTTTTTTATGTGCAAATATCATTATTGATTGATAAATTAGGTATCTATGATACCCTAGCTAACAATTTGCATTATCATCTTTTCTAATTCCCCATCTACATGTTGGATAAGTGGAATTGGTTCACCAAACCTTTAAGTGAACGTTTGAGTTTATTTTGGATCTGATTCCAACTACACTATGCTCTATCAAGGAATTCGTCAAGAAGCTCCCATGTGATATGATTGAATCAACAATCTGCATAAGGACAAATAATAATACTATAGTTTAAGAATTGAAGGCAGAAAAGAGGTGTTCGCGTGGTGTGGGGAGGGGGGGTTATAAAAGGAAAATATGATGTTAGTCATCCAATCATGAAAAGTGCTCAATATCAGTAGGTTCCTTATATGATACTAGAGGCATGCAACAGTATTTTAAAAAGTTTCTGGTTCTGGTTTATGCCTAAGCACCTACCAAATTAAATGCACATTTCAGCTTGTGATATGGCTTTGGTATACTTTTTAGTGTAATTTTTTACATAGAATATCTCCAAGAATAAGTTTGATATATATATATATATATATATATATATATATATTTACCTTGCAATTGTCAATCTTCGATGGAGGTAAGTTTCTCCTTGATGTATACATAGGTTTTGCTGCATCATAAAAGCTAAACCTGGGTGGCTGAAAATTACATAAGAGTTTCCAGGTGAGGAAGATTTTTACATCTCAGTCATGGAAAAGGGAACACAGTTCTTTGAAACCAAAATTAAAAAGATTGCTTGTAAATAACTTTAATTGATTTCATAGGTTTACCAGGACCATAGTTGTCCCAGACAAATTTCCTCAAATTATTAGTTACAAAATGAACTCAATACAGTCATGCTACTTAATAGAGTGGCTAGACAGATAAACTTGACACTCACATCCTCAGTGAGGGCTAGATTTGCCTCAAAGAATGATCTGATGGTCCCTATGTCCTCCCAGTAGTCATTGAAGAGATAAGCCTGCATGCATTACGTGAAGATGAGCATGTGTTCAGAGAGATATGCACATTGGTTATGTATCCACTGCAAAGGTACCTAACATCAATTGCACTACAAAAAGAATGATGAATACCCCCACACCATAGGTAAAGTCATAAGCAAGAAATTCCTTTTTAATGCTTTGAAATGAATTTCCAGTCATACCTTCATGTAAAACTCTTTAGCAGAGGCAGGAATGACCTCTGATCCAAAGTCATTTGCAGTTGGAAAGCGCCATCTAAATGAAATAAATTTGTAGAAATTAGCAAGCAAGATTTGAAATAGGATCAATGCATGTTTCAGTAAGTGAACCACAAAGAAAACTCTCACAATCTGAAGCATAATTATCAGCACCTTAATAGATTAAGAAGTATATCCTTCTTGAAGACGTACACTCCCATGGAAGCAATGTATGGTTTCTTTTCAGCCTCATCCCGGGAAAGGCCCAATACTGTTGTATCTACTTGCTAAATTATGAAGCATCATTACATTATCAGTAAATCTGATTCCTGAAACTTTCAGTGCCTTAGCAATATGATAAACTTGAGTTTTACCATTGCTTTCAGGTCTTTCCCTTTGGGCTTTTCACTGAATGAAAGTATCCTTCCTTTACTGTCTATCTTCATTAGACCAAAATCTGAGGCACGGCTATCATGAATGCACATTCGAGATTTTAAACAGCAATATATAATAAAGATTATCGAACTGGGAGATAAAAAAGCTGGTTCCTATTTCAGAGTCAACTTGCATATATTGATTGAAATACTTAAAATCTAATTCATTGTAGTAGCAAACAAAGACCTATCCATCAGCCCCGGGTAAGTTTATATCTAGTCAAAGAGAAAAGAGGAAATGAAACGTGGTCATTTCAAGCTATACAATACATGTAAGTGATTATGGCACCATTTTCTTAAATGAAATAATTAGAATGTTAATATGTGGGACAAGAAACCTACCTGTCATCCATTGGCAGACAAGAAAGAGTGATATCTGCTTTACTATCCCGATGATTCTGCATATCATGAGTCAAAACATCTAAACTATGAATGCAGCTGAATTGAGAGAGAAAAGAATTGTTTTATTAAATGTTATGATGCCTTACTTGAACAAAATCCATGTAGTCCATTCGGTAGAGATGATCCCCAGATAGAATCAATACATCCTCAATATCCTTACTTCTGGGATCCTACAAAAAGTAAAGCATACTCTACATCATCATACTTAACACCCAACCAGCATTAGGATTCTTCTTGGCCTTTGCTGTGACGAGGAAAGAAAGGGAAAATGGAAAATAAACCAGAAGAACAATCAATTATATTTAAGCCTTGTTATTTAAAATGGAAGTTTCAATAAAAATGTATGTACAAAATGCTGCAAGAAAATGGTTAATGGTCCATTATCATCACTTAAAGGTATAATTTTGTGGGGGAGTTTATTGTAGTACATGTAACATCAATTGTTTTTTATGTATATCTCGAACTTGTCAAGTCTTTCACAATAGCTGTCAAAACATATCATTTACTACTCTCAAATTACTGAAATTAGATAACTAGCAATTCACCGCGGAACCTCTTCCCCCCTGAAAACACAAGCACATCTAAACGCTCCTTGATTGATTTGTATATGTCAAATGTCAATGCATAAAATTAATTCAACGATAATCTAAAAAATTATCAATCTTTGAAAATAATTTGAAACTTATTTGCTACATTTTGAAAACATGAGAGGTATGCTCTATTGTATTATCTGAGATTCTGAATCAAAGAAAGTTCCTGCAGCCCTGGAATAGGGTAGGGGAGAATCCAAAATCAACCTAGTTAAACCTATCAAATGAATTTAAACTTTGGCTATGAAGTACTAAACTTTAAAATCTCCCTATAATTTATGTAATAAGGAAATTACATATTATTTGAAGGACCTACACAGTGCCTAAAGGATGTAGCGTAATACCTCAAATAGCCAGTGGAACTGTCTTACAGCATCAGCAGTACCCTGAAACCAACTTTTACCTGCCTCCCCTGGAGTTTGAGTGGCTGCAAGAACCTGAAAAAGAACTAGAGCCTTTAGATAATTTACAGTATCATAGTTCTTCATTTACTGATCTATTTTCTGAAGATTATATATTAATCAATGACTACTCATCACCCACTGACACAATAGCTAACTCACATTGCAAACATGTACTATTGAGAGATAGGAGATACCTCAACATAGCCATCTCCAAAGGTGACTCCAGCACCAGAGTTGTAAGCACGTGCAATATGCCTGTTTAGTGAGAATGAGTTAAACTGAGTGAGAATGTACACTTTGTTGATGCCACTGTTGATGCAGTTGCTCATTGGCACATCAATCAGCCTGTAAGCACCTCCAATAGGAACCTATCATAAGAAACACCAGAAAGATTATCAAATTCATAACTAGATGCATATCATATTAATATTGTAACGAACCTAGGGATACACCACCCTAAAAGCTAGCTCAAAGGGTGAGAGTGCCCAAGGCCTTATAAACTCCACATTAGTTGCACATACAACAACCAATGTGGACAATGCAACAGGAACGCCACAAGAGAAAGTGGGGGACGGTGAGGCTCTGATACCATGTAAAGAACCTTGGGATACACCACCCCAAAAACTAGCTCTAAGGGTGGGAGTGCCCAAGGCCTTATAAATGGGACTATATATCTCAACAAATATTATGTCATTGAAGTGCACGATAGCATGGATTAAGATATCCCACAACTCACAGAAACAAAGGCATGAGCATGTGAAGTGTCTATTGGCCGTGCTAATTTGTTTGTTAAAGGAGTTCTTCAATATTAAAAGTTGGTTGACATTTTAGGGGATGTTAAATGCACAGCATAGTAAAATGTAAAAACAAAAAGTAGCTCTTGCAAACTGATAATTTGAGAAACTACAGGCACCACTTCTTAACCTCATAATTAACCAAACAACTATGAAAATGGAAGAGTGGAAATAGAGACTTACAGCAGGTTTGGCACGGCGCTTTGTGAGAGGGAAGAGACGAGTTCCAGCACCTCCACCTAGTATAACTGCCATAACTGTCCTTGGGTCCCTTTTTCCCATATCTAGGTCTATTAACTGCAGTACCCCATATTCTTATTCATTGAGTAATGTTACATTCACAAATTCTTGCTACAAATAATGCATAAATCACTGATGTGGCTGCATTTGACTTAGTGAACCGGTTAAACTTCTTTTTCTGACACAAACTGAGTCACACTAAACCCACGGCCTCATGACAAGGAAGAACCAAAAAAAACATATTAAAAAGGGAAACATGGTACAAAATGTTTAGTGCAGCTGCTATATACCTTTAGCAAGATTCGAAATTTTATCGACACGTTTTCAACTTTCAAACTACTTTAGTCCTTTAATTTGGTACAACAAAAGTGAGAAGCTTGAACCTATAATATCATGCAAACTACCAAAAATCTTGATCACTATATATCTCACTTTTTCCCTATTCTATATTTCTTTCTATTAAAGTGAAGATAAGCAAAAGTAAAGGAATAAGCTAACCTTGGATTCGTTGGCAACATCAATAGAGAGGGACATGTATATATGTTTCCTAGAACTCTTTCTACATGCATTATTATCACCTCCTTGTTGTTCTAGTTGAGTTAGCTTCAGCTTCCTACCCATGACTTCTCCATCAGAAAACTTTACAAGACCCCAGTTCCTACCATTCCCTCCTATTGGTCTATGAAACTGAACAGCAGAGGAGAGTGACATCCAGCTACTGGCTGAGACTGCCATTTTGCCGGTCACTGGAGGGAGAAAGTGGGAATTTCAGTAGTAAATATTGATGATGTTCTCTTCTCTATATTATATATATCTTGTCATTACTATATACGTAGTTAAGAGTAAAGGCATTGTGTGTATAGTACAGAGAATGGAGAATTTGCTCATATGCATAGCAGGGAATATTGGAGGATTGGGCCACGTTATCCAAATTCAATTACATCCACCTATTTGGATTGTGTTTATAATGGTGCTCTAAGAAACACAAATGTAAGAAAATGGCAATTTGGTCATTGGGATTTTGTTGTTTGAGTGCATGAATGCTATGGAATGATTCCTTATGCTCTTTGTCCACAATTAGTTTCCCACTTCGAATAATTGGATTTTTAAGGTAGGAGTGACAAGTGATGGTAATTTCATGATTTTTGGTAAGGTACTTTATTTCATTAACAACCGGGAGCAATTATGAATATGCACCTTTGCTTTTAGTTGATAGGGTGGACGAATGTATTAAAATTAAATTTTCAATATTACTGTACAAATATTGAAAACCCAAGATCTTTAGATTCAGTGGATTGTGTAGGTAAGCAAATCTCATACGGAATTGTACCAGCCACATTATGAATACAAGGATTAGATTTAGAACATCGAACCAAGATTTTTACTTTTATTGTTTTTATAATTCATTTTTTTTTATCAATTATTTTTTATTTTTTTAACTTTTTTATTTTTCAGCGAAATACTTTCTAAAATAAAGAGCAGTAAAGTTGCATGGAACTCAATTATAATTTGAGAAAAAATAGACAAGGAGATACTCGAGCAAAGTGAGAAAATCCCGAGCAATCAGAAAACACTTTGACCGTAAATAGACAAGGACAAGCATAAACATGTGCACTATACTCTCATGGCTAAATAACCATCATGATATATAAGAACCATCTATCTCTTAGGTAACCTATCAACCTTAAATCATTAAGTTACATTTTGTTCTATGTGCTGTAAACCTGCCATATTTTGTTATTGATATAAAGGTTTAATGTTTCTACAATGTAAATAAGTTATTTATGTTCATTCTCAAAATGTTATTTTAAATTGAAAGATTAAAAAATTATAATGAAAAAGACTATTATAGTCTGAAATAAATTATAATAAAAAAAAATAACTTGATTTTCGTTCTAAAATAATGTCATTTTGAGCTCAATGTAAATAAATAATATAGATAACTTATTCATATTGAACGCAAAAAACAAACGGTTGGAATGTTCCCTTGTATCGTAGATAAATTATTGTGGTGTGCAAATGTTCCCTTGTATCATTAAATGGCAGCCTAGGCCCAACCTATGCCTCCACTATTGGGCTATATTTCTTTGCCAAAACTGTGTTTTAATTTAAATGGAAGAGCCCTAGCCTTGCTACAAGCCCACAAATATACTTATTCAGATTCGTATGGTTTGCAGCTTTTCACGCTAATCATCATCCTCAATTGTACATTTGTAGTTTTGTCTCCAATTCTTGAACATTGATTCACAGCCTTACCAATTCCCCAACAATGGAGCTGCTTCTATTCTCAAACATCCCCACATCGACATGTTTGCCTCCGGCGCCGTCTACAGCAAATTAAAAAACAAAAAACATGCAAACATCTTAAGGTTGTTATTAGTTTTGGTCTTTTTACTAGAAATGGGTAGTTGTTCTTTCCTTTTTAAAAACTAACACTTGGAAACAATTATCCAAACAGGATTTCTTTAAAGAAAAAGGTAATTTTCGTGAACAGAAACCAGAAAAAAATAATTTTCTTTGCAGGGGTATCTTTATACTTTTCAAATATGAGACTACTCTTATTTTATTTGATTTAATTGAAAAACTAACATTTTGGCCTAAAAATATACAGATTAACGTTTCTCCCTGTCATATGAGATACAATTATCTCCTACAATTCAAAACGGCATTATTTTGGAGTTCTGAAAAAATATTAGATATTTTAATAAAATTACATGATACAAAAGAAAAATAAAATTACTAAGATATTCTTATTTTTTTTCTTAGATCCCCCAAAATGACTTTGGGTTGTAGGAAATAACTTTATCCTATGTTGTCGGAAAAATATTTTTCCAAAAATATAATCAAGGGAGATTTAGTAATAAAAAAATTTGTATCCAAGTTGAGAATATGTATTTTATAAAGAGGTAGAATATTCATACTACTATTTCCAAAAAAAAATAAAAAATATTCATACTACTATTTTTTTCTACTATCAATCCATAACTCTATTCATCATTGTATCAAACTTTTCAGCAATTTTTTTCTTTCTCTTCAGCCCACTTTTCGTTGAAAAATTTGATCCAATGGTGATTAGAGTGGTAATAAAAAAATGGTAGTATGGATATTCTACCTTTTATAAAAGGAGAATGGAGAATATATTTTTTATGTTGCCTGCGATAAAATACACAAAAAACAGGTGAGATCTACTGAGGTTACGTTTGGATCGGCTTATACTTATGAAGAAGCTGCTTTTTTTTTTAAATAAAAAAGTGCTTTTAGAGTTATTTGGTTGTTTGAAAACCGACTTTAAAAAAAAAACAAAAGTTGCTAAAAAGCTACGATTCAACTTACTTTTTTCAAAAGCTAAAATTTTTGACTTTTGGAAAAAGTAAAAGCCAAAATCAACTGAATGACTCTCGTGATCCCTCCGCTTCTTCAATTTTGCATGAGTTTGCACCCAACAAGTGGCTTTAGGAGTCTAATAAGTTGGATGCTCGATTGGATCTCCTTCTCTTACAACGAGATTCAGAATTTCAAGCGCTCTTCTTCACAATGTGTTTGGAGTGAGATGGGTTCTTCTTCTCTTGTTTGATTATGAAATCTGGATTTTTAGTTTGCGTAAATTCGGTTCTTCGATCCAAGATCACGCTCACGCTTCCCTTTGAATTTCTCACAAAATCACATGGATTTTTTATTCAACTATACTCTCCCATCCTTTTGAGTATTCACTTGAGAACATTCTCACTGTCATCAATTGATGAATGGCGAAAAGGAAGTGGGTGATTTCACCCTAAAGATACAAAATGCAAAAAGAAAGAAGAAGAAGGGTACAACAGTAATTTTATAGTTAAAAAGTACTTTTTCAATTTAATATCCAAATAATATTTTTATTTAAAAGTACCTCTTAAATACAAACACAAAATAATTTTAATTTTTAAACAAAGTAACTCATTAAAAGTCCATTCAAACGAGCTCTAAAAATAAAAAAAAATAAAAAAAAAATGTCTCATCAACTTTTTGTATGTACATGAAAAAAATTGTTTTATGCAATATGACAGACATATTTTCCTTTACAAAAAACTATGGATTGATGGCTAATTAATCAAAAGAAGAAATAATAATTCCTTAAATTTTCTATTTACAATAATATTTCACATTTTTCGTGTTTCTCGATCACAAAAAATTTGTTTAAAAAGTAAAAATATGTAAATTAATAGATAGTGCAAGTCATGATGCTGGTTATTTTAAGCAATGCTAGTTAAATGCTAGTTATTATAATATAAAGTAATGGGTTTTAAGTTTGTTATGTTACAATTACAACATAATTCCACTTTCCTATACACATAATAAAGATGTGGGGTTAACATATTTTTTTTTTTCTTTCATCATTTCACTTTCTCTCTCCATTTGTTATGTATGTAGGAAAATAAAGTTATTATATGTAACATAACAAACATAAAACCATAAAGTTATATAAGCTAAAAATTATGGGATTTATAAACATAATGTTACAGGAATTATTATATCATGTCACATAAACACAAAAAGTGGGCCCGCCATTGATTTTTCAAAAAAATAAAAAATAAATAAACATCACACATAACGATGAGTCTACCAGAAAACATCTCACTTTCCTCTGACACGATCGATTGAAAGCCCAAAAATTATTAACATGATTTCTTTTATAAGCACTATTAATAAAAGGACAAGTTTGTTCATAGAAAAAATCAAATAAGAAATAGATAGTCTATATATGAGATAAATTTTTGATACTACTGTTGTATTCAAGTGAGTATAATATTTTTTCCAATTTTGAAAAAAAATGCAATGTGACAGGGAATTTTTTCTTTTTGAAAAGTGTTAAAAAAAATTTCAAAAATGTTGTACCCATTTGAATATAATAATTATACCAAAAATTTATCCTATATATGAAAGTGAAGTCCCATTCTTCTGCATTGGTAATGATGGAAATTGATCTTCCATGAGATCCATTCCCGGTGATGATACCGTGATAGTCACGTGCCTGAAGGTCTCCTCGTGTTTCTGAACGGTCAGAATTCAACACACAAACCAAACTCAAATTTCCCTTGTGCAGTTCCAGCCTGGTTCCAACATGCATGCAAATTGCAAGTGATGAGAACCTTCCCCGATGAAAACATATAACCTTGTTATTTTCAATCACCACTGGACCAAGCCCACATGTACGGATGTCTCATGTACCTACCTAGCTAGCCTTATACAAGCCGTCAATAATGAATTGAAAAATCCACCAAAACAAAAAACATGCCTAAAAAAATCAAAGAGAATTATATAGCACACGAAATATTTGCAGTGTGCTAAAAGCCTAAAACATTAATCAGCATCATCATGTGATTATACACCACCAGGTGGTGTCTGTCTTTCTCGTTATGATTTTTATGATATTTTAGATTTTTCTTCTCACCCCTCAGTTGATGGACTCTTGAGGGTTGTCGTTTTTGGCATAGATTTCGAGGCCATGAAGCAGTCACAATGGAATTAGCGGTGCAGAATGAGAAGCAGCTACAAGTTGAGTAGAATTATTGCTGTAGTTGATCTAATTATGCAGCGAGAGACCACTCTTGTAGGGTCCAAGATAAGGACCTTGCCAAAATGAACAAAATATATATCAAATGAACTTTTTTTTTTTATCAACTGTAATTATTATTTTTGAAGTAAGTAGATTCTTTTGAGTATCTTCGTAAGTTTTGATTTTTTGAGCCAATAACTTAATCAATCCTAAATACAGGACAAGTCAAGGATTAAAGTTATATGTTCTTTCTTAATATGATAATAGTGTGGATCGAACCAAAATTATTTTTCACCCACTAAGTTACCTTGCACCAATTGAGCTAATTAACCTATTTATTTGTCACCGTTAATAATCGGCCTCTCCCGATCCACGAGGACATTGAGCATGGGCAGGAAAAAATTGACTTATATATGTAAATATAATTTGCAAACAAATTTAATTTGAACGGTGGCTGCCATGTTGAAAGTTCAACCAGCATTTCAAAAATGTTGTTGACTATTGCAAAGGGGTGATTACAAAAAATTAGTGGAGCGAGTGATTTAATATGATCATATAAGGGTAAATTAATAAGGATAAGAAATGAGCGAAAAAAATATTGGAATAAAAAATTATAAAATCATTACAGTTGATTTGTACGTTGATAATTAAGATCCTCTGACATAATATGGTCATAAGTGATGCTAATCAGGAGAGTAAATAGATTAAGTTAAGCCAGACTTTAATCTTAATAGTTATCTAAGCCTACATAAAATATTTAGAGCCTACACTAATATATTCAGCCTATTAAAACTTGGTTTGGTGACTTGACATCGCCATTGTAAAAAATTGAAAAGTCTAACACAAAGCCTTCTAGGCCTACAAAGTTACAAATCAAACTCAAATTAAAAATATGAAATTTCCCATTCATTAAACAGTGTTTTCAATAAGAGTTCAAATTATAAAAATTATGAAACACTTTTTTTTTTAACAATATCACAAATATCCTTTATAACAACACATTTAAATAGTTACTTTTAGATGCTTTTTCGTTGCTCTTGACAGCCTTCGTGAATATATTATTTTATTAAAAAATTAAAAGGTGAACTTGCAGCTTTTAGGCCAAAATTTTTAAAGTGAGTCTATAGCCTAATTTTTAAATGGATTTTTTTAAAAGTCTAAACATGTTCTATTTTTTAAATAGACTAGGATAGGTCAGGTCTAAGGTAGGTCAGGCTGTAGGCCTATGATAGGACGCCTAATCCATTTACACCCTTACTCTAATGCTATTTTTACTTTTATTTTTGGTAAATGAATTGAGCTTTTTTTTTCTTTTTTGACAATCTAATTGAGCTTTTGATATCAATAGGTTGTGTCTATTATTAATAAAATTATTTTTTCATTGAATTTAATTTTGATGTAAATCATTAAAAAAGTTTGAGTATATTTTATGAAAAAATATTAAATTATCACAACTGTTATGTAAAATGTTTTAACATATCAATAATATAAAAAACTTTACAACCACGTTCTATTAAGTTTAAACTGTTTTTGATATAGTATGCAAGCATCATCTTTGAGATATATGAGTGAAGATCCACAGGGAAACAATCAATTTGATGCGATTTGGGAAAAAAAAATTATCAATATACCACAAACCCTAAATTATTTTATGAAATATTATGATTAAATTCCACTATTGAACCTAGTGGGACTCCTTTTGCTCGTGGCAAAACATAGTAAATCTCTCTCATTAAGTTAACTTCACTCACTTTCTTTTAGCAAAATGAAATGTTTGAGTCTCTTTGAATAAGTTTTTTTCTCCTCTAAAAGCTGTTTTTTTTTTTTTTATATATAAAAAGTATTTCTCACTATAAACTCAGTTAGATATATGCTTTAAAAAAAATAGAAGTCACAAAAAATCAAAAATATATTTTTTAGGAAGTTAAAAATTTTAAATTTTATAAAAAAGTAGGAATCAAAAGTTAAATAATTTTTTCAAAAACTCAATAATTTTTTTAAAATTTAAATAGCTTAACTTTTATAAAAAAAAATTTAAAGGGCCAAAAAAAGGGGGCTCAAATCAACGGGACTTAAGTCCTTATGTGACAAAAACGTGTCTCGCTGGATCGATAACGAAACTTTTGGCATAAGAGAAAGGAAAATAATTTTTCAAATTTGACATTTTTTTTTTACGTAATATAAATTGGTCGTTGCCCCTTAAAAATTCTTGTGAGAAAAAGAAAAATAGGAGTAGATCCTCTCATGCGCTAAATAACATGACCATGTCATGTGGAGCAATCGTAATTATATATAGGTGGATTAATGGTGATAAGAAAGAAGAGAAAAAAAATATAAAAATAAAAAATTACATAATCATAATTGTTGAATTAATTATTAATGGTTAAAATTCTTCTGGATCATGTTAAATTACACGTATCCATTTCCAAGAAAAATAGTCTTCTAAGATTTTTTTTCAGTTAAAATCTACGCGGTTAGTTGTGACGACGCATGCCATCACCTTGCTGGTTCCACCTATATATAACGTCTTGTCTAGAACTGCCTCCTCACTTAGGAAAAACCGTTTCCTATACTTAGATTTTGGTCACCAACCCTCCTCTGTCTTCATCGAAATAATCGTTAAGCTCTTCCACATTGTGAGTTCGTGATACTCCAAGGTTCAAACAACCACTTAAATCACACAACACAAACACGTTAATCTTATCAACTTATTGTTCATTCATTGTATTTGTAATTTGTACCCTTCTCCTCTCACCTACAAAATCATTTCGTTCTTTATTCACATTCAGATAAGCCAAAGCATCATGATCTCTTCAGTCAAGTACACAGCATCATCTCTCACCTGCACCGCTTCCTCAAGTGATTGCAGAAAGCTTCCTGTTGCAAGGCCTCAACTTTTCACATTACCCACCATTCAAAATGTTGAACAAAACATGGGTCCTTCTCTGTTTTCTTCCCAGAAGCCTCTTTACCTTTCATCCACTGAAAACTTTGCATTGCTGACAAAACCCAGAAGGAGGAACGTGATAGAGTGCAAGGCCTATGAGGCAGATAGGTCACGGCCACTAGAGATTAACATTGGTGAAGAGGAAGCTAAGAAGGTCAAGATTGGGTTGTATTTTGCTACATGGTGGGCTTTGAATGTGGTCTTCAACATATACAACAAGAAGGTTTTGAATGCTTTTCCTTACCCGTGGCTTACTTCTACTTTGTCCCTCGCTGCTGGCTCTCTCATTATGTTAATCTCGTGGGCCACAAGGGTTGCTGATGTCCCTAAAGTTAATTTGGACTTTTGGAAGGCACTGTTTCCTGTAAGAAAATATTACTTGTTTTTCAATTTTATTTTGTTTTCAAAGAATAACCTTTATAAAATTTGAATGATAAATGTGAAGAACGGTGGCCCAAGAAATGAGTTAGAAGTAAGGGAAACCTTGATTTATTAGTATTCACCCAAGAAATTCAAATTTGGGTGTGTGCAGGTTGCGGTGGCACACACAATTGGGCATGTTGCTGCAACTGTGAGCATGTCCAAAGTTGCAGTTTCATTCACTCACATCATCAAGAGTGGAGAGCCTGCTTTCAGTGTCCTTGTATCAAGGTTCTTGCTTGGAGAAGCATTCCCTATGCCGGTTTACCTGTCACTAGTGCCAATTATTGGTGGTTGTTCACTTGCTGCTGTGACCGAGCTCAATTTCAATATGATTGGTATGACTATTTACTGAAAAATAAAAAATGAAAATTTTCTCATGTATGACTATTTTTGGTAGTTGAATACTCTAATTAGACCACTTCATATTTCAGGATTTATGGGGGCTATGATATCAAATTTGGCATTTGTCTTCCGGAATATATTCTCAAAGAAAGGGATGAAGGGAATGTCTGTTAGCGGAATGAACTACTATGCTTGTCTTTCCATAATGTCTCTGTTAATTCTCACACCTTTTGCCATTGCTGTGGAAGGCCCCAAGGTGTGGGCTGCTGGCTGGCAAACAGCTGTGTCTCAGATTGGTCCCAATTTTGTATGGTAAGCACAACAGTCTTCAAATCTCAGCTTATTGTTTATTTTCATTCCTCTTAATCTCTTTCATATTGATGGGCTTGTATTTGTATTTATTTTGCTTATGTAATTGGATATTTATATATATATATATATATATAGATTTTGCTAACAAGCAAACTCAATTTGAATAAGGTAGAAGTTCTATGTAGGTTGTTAAACATCTAAGAGATCCTTTGTTAACTTTTTACAAGAATGAGATTGGTTAATATATTCTTCAGCAGATGTTTAACTAACAGACTTGTGTGTTTTGATGTTTACAGGTGGGTAGCTGCCCAGAGTGTGTTCTACCACTTGTATAATCAAGTCTCTTACATGTCTCTTGATCAGATTTCTCCCTTAACATTTAGCATAGGGAACACAATGAAGAGAATTTCTGTAATTGTCTCTTCCATTCTTATCTTCCGCACACCAGTTCAGCCCATCAATGCTCTTGGGGCTGCCATTGCAATTCTTGGCACCTTCCTATATTCACAGGTGCATTCTAGTCTCCATCTAAACTATGTTTGTTTCTTTTTACTTTGAGGATCCCAAGGGCCATGCATAATGCTACATGTACTTACATGGATGCTTTTTGTTTTTGCTTTTGCTATATATCACCTCTTGTTTGAAACAAATTAAAAGGAAGGATTATTAGGAGAGAAATACTACTCTTATCTTACATGAGGTAATTATCTCATATTTTCTCACTTCGATAATCGCACCTACTCTTTTTTTTATCCTTTAATGGTAGGTCTCACATGACTTCTCTGTAACATGAGAAAACTACTCTCGTGTAAAATGAGAGTAACATTTCCCTTATTAAAAATAGTTTTATTGTTAGATTTGGAAATTTATTATTATTGTTTATGGGTTCAGTGAATTTCTTTTTAAATAATACAAGTTATATAATTTTAAAAGTTTTAACTATGCATTTTTAGGAATGCATAATTTATAATATTAAAGTTATATTTTTTTCTCTCTCTTCAAACAATGTCTGCTGACATAAAAAGTGAAAAAAGTACAACTTTAATATTATAACTATACATTTCCAAAAATACATAATTAAAAACTGCTAAAAGTACGTAAAGTTGTCTCCTTTAAATAACACTCCTTTGTTTACGTGGTTCTTTGTCTATGCTCTTGTATTATTAAAATAGTATGCTACTCAATCAGTGATACATTATTATATATATTGCACACAACTGACAGCTTTCTGTTGATTTGTGAACAGGCTAAACAGTAAGGTGGTAATTTTGAAGGTGTAGGGAAAGATGACTCAAGGGTGTAGCTCAAAGTGTGACTATCGAGGACTATGACGTTAATTAGAGAGTACATTGTGTTATCAATAGGAATTCAAGCTGCTTTTCTTTGAGGCCATAGTAATAGCATTAGTAATCACTTTTTCATGTGTATAAATGAGCTTTTGGGTTTCTTTCCTGTAATATGAATGGAGTTGCACTAAATATGAACGTTGTAGTTGCATCTTGAAAGTATATGAAGGATTTCTTCAAAAAAAAAAAAAAAAAAAAAAGCTTTCACACTTATATTTAACATACGCATATATCTAACAACAAATTTAAATAACTTACTCATACATCCTACCATGTTCCCCTTTCACGTTGCAACAAAAAAAAAAGCATGTGGCCACTTAATAGTTCTATGCTGTAAATCTGCCTTATCCCTTTTTTGGAAGTTTTTAATAATTCTTTACAGTGAAGCAAAAAGAAAGGATCACCATAATGGTGTCCTGTTGTGACCCAAGTGGGTGAGCCCAATCAAGGCAAGCCCAATCGCAATAGAAGAAAGCCTGCGTACCTAAAGGACTATTGTCTTTAAATACTTGTACCCATTGTCTTTAAATACTTGTAAGGATACTTGTAAGGCCCATAGTGTTTAAATACTTGTAAGGCCCATTGTCTAGAAATAGATATGAGTTGAGTAGTTAAACAGTGTAATAGAAAAGCATTGCAAGAAAAACTATATTAAATAGCCCTGGGGGCGTAACAGAAGAGACAGAAAAGATTGGACAATTCTCTCTCTTCCTCCTTACTTCTCTCTAAACGGTTATTCACCTTTGAATCTCTCATTCTCTATCTTCCAGATCTGAACTAAACCCCTTCATTGGTGCTTTCATTGCTCCTCAACCTACCTGTTATGGCTGAAAACACGCGTTTAAGGGATCTGTCACAACGTTTTGAAACTTTGGATGAACAATTTCGAGCTGCAGAGACTGTTCGTGCACAACAGTATTTGGGTTTGCAAGAATCCAACTCTCAGTTGCAGGAGTCCTATCTCCACTTACAGGAATCTCAGAACCGTTTACATGTAGATCTGGCTCGTCTTCTGGAGTTGCAACAAAATTCTCCGGGACGCGGAATTTTGGGTTCTGGTCCGCATGGTAATGATAATTCCAGAGCGCGCCAAGTCAAGCTTGATTTTCCTCGTTTTTCGTCAGGTGATCCAACTACTTGGATCGTGGCTGCGGAACGATATTTCACCTTCTACCAGGTTCCCTTACCAGATCGTTTAAATTTAGCTGCCTTCCATTTAGATGAACCTGCTGCTAGTTGGTTTTATGGTTCGGATCAAAATGGTTTAATGCCTGATTGGCGCACATTTTGCACGGCTGTTCTTCGCCGTTTTGGGCCCTCTGAATTTGATGATCCTGCAGGAGCCTTGGTTAAAATTCATCAAACTGGATCTGTGTTGGATTACCAATCCACATTTGAAAAACTAGTGAGTAAGGTGCCTGGCCTTACAGCTCCTTTGCTACGGAGCATTTTTATTTCTAGTTTAAAGGCCCATATATGTCGCCTTGTTTTGACTCATAGACCTCAAGATTATCATGAGGCCTTTTCTCTGGCACGTGTGTATGAGGATCAGTCTTCTGACTATAAACCTTCGCGCACCTGGTCTAATCCACCAAAACCTCCACCGAACCAGATAAGCTCTACTCTAAGCTTAACCAACAAACCGCATTCTTCTCTGCCCTCTTCGGGTCCATTGGCTGCCATTCCTATTCGTCGGCTTTCTCCGACTGAGATGCAGGTGAAACGTGAGAAGAATTTATGTTATACATGTGACGAACCATATTCTTTTGGTCATAAGTGTAAGGGTCGTGCTACTCTTCTGTATATGGAAGGAACAGATGCTGATCCGGATGATAGTTTTCAGGAGGAGGTTGTTGAACTCCCTACGCATGATATTACTTCCGAAATCAGCCTCAATGCTCTTTTTGGCCACAACTGCTCGCGGTCTTTTCGTCTCACAGGGTCACTACAAGGGAAGCCTATTCAAACTTTGGTGGATGGGGGTAGTACCCACAATTTTATAACGGAGCGTATGGCTAATTTCCTTGATCTCACCTTGCAACAGGTGTCCCATTTCCTTGTACAGGTGGGCAATGGAGATGCTTTGCGGTGTCATGCTTTTTGTCCTGCTGCCTCTTTACTGCTTCAGTCCCACGTTTTTGTTGTGGATCTTTATGTGTTGGATCTCAAAGGGGCGGATGTGGTATTAGGGGTCCAATGGCTTGCGACTCTTGGGCCGATTGTCACAGATTATTCTAAAATGACTATGACTTTTCAACATTTGGCCACAACGGTCATTTTACATGGCAACTCAAATATTGCACCCACACCGACTACTAATGCTCAGTTCCAAAAATTAATGGTCCAGAAATCTGTCTCTTCATGTTTTATGTGTCTCATTAGTAATGTACCAAACCAGCTTTCTATACCCGCTAAAGCCCAAACACCTCCCTCTATTCAACAAATTTTACACAAGTTCCAAGATGTCTTCGCCACCCCTTCATCTTTACCCCCTGATAGAAACTGTAATCATTCCATCAACCTCTTCCCAAACTCGAAACCTGTTCAAGTAAGACCCTACCGATATCCACATTTTCAGAAGACGGAGATTGAGAAAATGGTTGCTGAAATGTTGGATACTGGTATTATTCAGCCCAGCCGTTCACCTTTCAGTTCACCGGTTATTTTGGTCAAAAAGAAAGATGGGACGTGGCGTTTTTGTGTTGATTATCGCGCCCTTAATACCATTACTATTCCGGATAAATTTCCTATTCCTACAGTTGATGAACTGATTGACGAGTTGCATGGTGCCCAGATCTTTTCAAAGCTTGATCTTCGGTCAGGCTATCACCAAATAAAAATGAATCCACTGGATGTTCACAAAACGGCATTTCGAACCCATAGCGGTCACATTGAGTTTCTTGTGATGCCTTTTGGGCTGTCTAATGCCCCGTCTACCTTTCAGGCCGCTATGAATCATATATTCACTGGGTTTTTGCGTCGTTTTGGGCCACGTGATTTCGGCAGCTGGGGTTAGTCCGGATCCTTCCAAAGTCCAGGCGGTGTGTGATTGGCCGATTCCTAATTCTGTAACGCAGTTATGAGCTTTTTTGGGACTCTCTGGTTATTATCGCCATTTTATTCGTGGATACGCTATGGTTGCTGCCCCACTTACTGATCTTCTGGCCAAGGATGCTTTTCATTGGACTTCAGCAGCTGAGCATGCTTTTGTTTCTCTTAAGCATCTCCTTACCACCGCTCCCATTTTAGCGTTGCCAAATTTTCAGCTACCCTTTGTTTTGGAAGCTAATGCTTCAGGGGTTGGCGTTGGGGCTGTATTGTTGCAGGATAGTCATCCTATTGCTTATTTTAGTCGCAAGCTTTCCAAGCTCATGCAACTGAAATCTACCTATCTACGTGAGATGTACGCCATCACTTCGGCTGTTGCCAAGTGGCGCCAATATTTGCTGGGATCCTCTTTCATCATCAAAATGGATCACCATAGTTTGCATCACTTAATGACACAAGTGATTCAAACTCCTGAGCAACAACAATTTCTCGCGAAATTGTTGGGCTACAACTATTCAATTCAATTCAAATCTGGCAAACATAATATTATGGCTGACGCTTTGTCGCGCCAACCGGAGGGGACTTCTCCTATCACAGTCCCCACCCTGTTGATTTTGTCTACACCTACATCTCATTATAGTTCCATCATACAGACTGATTTACAAGCAGATCCCTATGCTGCACAAATTTGTAATGAATTACAATCCAATGCATCTAACTGGCCTCACTGGCAGCTCCAAAGTGGATTGCTTTTTCATCATCACCGATTGTACATTCCAGCAGCTTCATCACTGATACCACTCTTGCTACATGACTTCCACTCTTCCAAAATTGGGGGCCACGCAGGTGTTCGACGTACTTTCCTCCGTTTAGCAGCCAAGTTCACCTGGAACAAAATGAAGAAAGATGTTCAGGAGTTTGTTCAACACTGTGAAGTGTGTCAGAAAGCTAAATCGCCCAATCATAGCCCCTACGGATTACTACAGCCGTTACCCATGCCGGAACTCATATGGTCCGACTTAACAATGGATTTTGTCACACATCTTCCAACTTCATCTGGGTTTACGGCGATTATGGTGGTGGTGGACAGACTTACAAAGGGGGCCCATTTCGCGGCTTTACCGACGAAATACTCTGCATCTAAAGTAGCTACTGTGTTTTGGGACACGGTGGGGAAGTTGCATGGCCTTCCCCGTTCCATTGTTTCTGACAGAGACCCTATTTTTCTCAGTGAGTTTTGGCAAACTCTATTCAAACTTCAGGGCACACAGTTGCATTTTAGCTCCGCTTACCACCCACAGACGGATGGTCAAACGGAGCGGGTTAATCGAACTTTGGAACAGTACCTCAGATGTTTTGCTCATGAGAATCCGATTGCGTGGCATAAGTTCTTGAGTTGGGCGGAGTTTCATTACAATACTTCTCATAACTGGTGTACTGGAACTTCTCCATTCCGGGCGACTTTTGGGCGTTTTCCTCCGGATTTGTTATCCTACACCTTGGGTTCCACTTCGGTTGAAGCAGTGGACTCGGATCTTCATCACAGGTCCATGATCCTATCATCATTAAAACACAGTCTACAGAAAGCCCAAGCTGAGATGAAAGCACATGCAGAAGAGAAACGGAAAGACATCACCTTTAATGAGGGAGATTTGGTTCTTCTTCGCTTACAACCTTTTCGGCAGCTCACCCTGCAGCGTCGTTCTTGTAACAAGCTCAGCTTACGTTTTTATGGGCCGTTCCGAGTGCTTGAACGTATTGGGAAGGTTGCATACCGTCTTCAGCTTCCTCTAACGTCTCGGGTTCATCCCGTGTTCCACGCCTCTCTATTACGGCCGATCTTTCCAGCTCATCGTTATCAGGTTCATGATCTCCCTACGGAATTACGCACTGTTCCGCCACAGCACACACCAGCAGCTCTGCTCTCTTAGCGCAACGTTTGGAGACACGGTCATCCAGTGGCCCAAGTCCTTGTCCAGTGGGAAGGGTTGTCGCCGGAGGATTCGACGTGGGAGGACGCGGCGTTGTTAAAGGCTCCTCCACGAACCAAGGTCTCTTCTTTGGAGCACCCTCATCACTCAAAGGTCAGCTCCGTTTCTGATGAAGTAGTGCTGGCCATCAATGACTCACAGGTTTCTATGCCAAAGGACACACCTAATCCTCATCCAGAAACCTCAGAGTCCTCAGCCAATCAAGGTGCGTTGGGCCAGATTCTTATCCCTTTGACAACCGCTCAAGCACAGCCACCTGTCCCTATTGTCTCAGCCTCTCCTGTCATGGCTGCCAGCTGTGTTCCACCCAAACAAGACGCTTTGGACGTTTCTGGGCCATCCAACCTCGTGGGCGAGGTTTGTTCTGATGAGGAAGGAGTTGTTGTGACCCAAGTGGGTGAGCCCAATCAAGGCAAGCCCAATCGCAATAGAAGAAAGCCTGCGTACCTAAAGGACTATTATCTTTAAATACTTGTACCCATTGTCTTTAAATACTTGTAAGGATACTTGTAAGGCTCATAGTGTTTAAATACTTGTAAGGCCCATTGTCTAGAAATAGATATGAGTTGAGTAGTTAAACAGTGTAATAGAAAAGCATTGTAAGAAAAACTATATTAAATAGCCCTGGGGGCGTAACAGAAGAGACAGAAAAGATTGGACAATTCTCTCTCTTCCTCCTTACTTCTCTCTAAACGGTTATTCACCTTTGAATCTCTCCTTCTCTATCTTCCAGATTTGAACTAAACCCCTTCATGTCCACTCTTACTAAGCCCACACAAACCATCAAGCCTACACACATTACTTGACAAGATTGGAATCCTCTAACTAAATGTCCAACTGTCTATTCACTCAAATTAAAGGAATAATAATCTGTTGATGAAAATTAGTTGAGAAAATTTTAGTAATATCATGTTATTATACATTATAAATATACAAATATTTTATCAAAATCTCAATAATCAATTTTCTCATCAATAACTATAATTTGTTAAACTTTTTCCCCCTAATCACTTTAGACAATTAAAATTATAGTGAAGTAGCACCCCGGTTTTCAGTTATCTTCAGCTCTGATTTTTCAAGCGGAAAAACTTGATCTTGGGTGTGCAATGGGTAAAAATCTGATAACTTGCAGGTGAAATTGGTTAAAAAGAAGAAGTCACTTTATAATAAAGATGATTATAATCATAATGCCCAAAACAAAAAACTTTAAAAAAAAATTAAGCTTTCCCAAACAAATAGGAAGAATATAATGATCCTAACTGGTAAATTTTAATTAAAGATTTAATTTAAGGATTTAAATGTCATAACTAGATTCAAATCGTTATTTCAAGTGTTTTGACTGTAATCATGACTAGGTCATGAATAGTGCATTCTGCCAGATGTTCTGCATTGTTGTGAATCAACCGGTAGAGCTCAGAATAAGCAAAATGAGTTTAGAGACCTAATTTGGCAATTCTGATGCCAAATATAAGTTCAGAACGAAAAATTGTATAGTTTGGTACTTTTCGTGAAAATCTCGTGAATAGTATTTTCTGTCGGGTATTTTGTACCGCTGTTTAAGCAACCGGTAGAGTCTAGAACTAAATAATTGATGAAATAAGAATAAAAAAGTCCAATATATGCCAAACAAGTCATAATAGATCCAAGAATGATAAGTTTATAAGTTTTAAGTTTTCACAGGCAAACAATGCACTATTAGTGATTCACAGTGTATTTCGTCAAAAACGGTGCAGAAATCATGCTGTGAATTATTAATATTGTTCCTTAGAGAATAAGAAGTTAATGTAAATGAGTTCAAAAAAATAAAATTATGTCTGTAGCTTTGAGTTAGTACCGAGTCAAGTTAAGTGAAATTACGTGAGAGAAAAACAACCAGTAAAAGACCATAGGACATTATAAAGTTAAGTGGACCACTATTCATTGTCATTTTTCATTTTTCTCTCTCCTTCCATACCAAAACCGCGACAGGCATGGTGGGGGGGAGGGGTGGGTTGCTTTCTCTCTCCTCTCTTTCTCATTCATATAATCACCAAAACACAAAGTGTTATATATGAAACTTTAAGTAGAGATCGTTGTGAATCCATTCCACCTATTTGTTTGGGCTGAAAGGGCTTGTGTGAAGAGTTCTCTTCTTCTCAAATTTTGGGTCACTATTCATCCTAGAGAGATTGTATTTTTGGGTGGAACCAAGCTTGGGTTTTGTTCTCCAAGCCTTGTATAGGTGATTTGAGGTAAGAGATCCTCATTCCATTGGTTTAAATGTCATGATTTAAGTTTTGAATATTATGAGCACTTTTTGTGGAATGTTATTGAGTTTGAAAATTGAAATTTATGATGGATTAGTGTTGTTAATGAAGTTAGGATGTGAAATAAGCATGAACATGTGTTTAAAATTTTAAAAAAAAATCCCCTTGGACCACTATGTAAGGTTCGGTCATGTTGGGCTTTTTGGGGTTTGGTGTGCAAAAATTAAATTGCATAATTCGTAAAGAATTACATGTATGTGGAAGTGTGAATGAGTGGTTAAATTGAGTGAATAAAAAGAAAAATCCATTGGAAAATCTCCCTCTAGATTTCGACCTATAGGGTTGCTTAGGGATTGATTGTGTTAAACTTTATTTTGATGATGTGTTGAGGTTCTAATGCATGGCATGGGTAGGATTATGAAGTGAGATGGCTTAAGAAATGGCGAACAACATCTTGGTTCCTTGTATGGATGCCTCAGCCTTGTGAAGGAAAATATGCCTAAGTTGTGTTTAAATTGTTAATGGGAATGCATAAATATTTTAGGAACCTTTGGTGGTATGAAATGAATTGATAAAAATCCCTAGTTTCCCTTGCTATTGGCTTCGGCCATTGTATGATTTTTGGGGCTAGGAATTTTTTAAAAAATAGTAAAAGATATTTTAGAAGCTTGGTTGGGTCATTCTAAGAACCTATGTAAGGTAATCATCCTTAAATAATCTAACAAATGAGTTTAAGAAATTGCGGTCTTGACTTGCGAATTGGCATAGGATTGGCATAAATGTGAAGAAATGAAAGTAAACAATCAAATGTATGTCTTGTAATTACATGGCATGGTAGTATTTTAGTGAGTTTTGTTTTGGATTCTTTCTCTAGGTGTGCATAGGGACTGTGAGCATTTGGATTCCTTTGGAGCAAGATAAGTAGTTTGTTCTTCAAGTAAGAAAATTGTAAAGCTTCAAGAGGTAAGCTCTAAGTTTAAGGAGTTCTCTCCTATCTATGTGCTCCACCATGGTTAGTGAACTATGGTTGGATTGTATGATTATATTTGATGCTTTGTATAGATGCATTCATATAGAGCTATTTGATAATATGATATATTCTGTTTTGATGTGATTTCTGTAAGGATCTTTGGCCATTGATTCTATGTGCACTGATGTCTGCTTGGAGCCCTCCCTTGGGACTGACTGTGTACACCTCTGATATGTTTTTGGTTCCGCTAGGGGTCCTCCCTTGAGAACACGTGCGTTGATTTCCGCTTGGGGTCCTTCCTTGGGAATGACTATGTACACCTCCGATAAGATATGTATATATGTTTTGTTCAGTTGTGATATCTGTTATATAATGTCTTGTATACTCTATATCTGACTTTCATGCAGGAGTGGGTCTAGGGTATGGAGAATTCTCTACAAATCTGGAGCTTATTGAGATTTGTTATCCATCCTGTTTTAGGACATCATTTCAGGTGTACAGATTGCCGGTGAGCCTACACAGGACAACGATACGACCCGTGGATAGAGTATCGCGGACCAGATTTTGGGTAGCAGTCTGCTACTATTATTTTGGAGGATTGTTATTTTGCATTAGTATTCCATTGTTTTGAGGATCATGATGTCTGATCCGTTACTTGTATATGGCCTGTATATGTCTTGTACATGTTTCCGTTTTGATGCATGTACAATTGTGTATTCAAGCATGCTTATATGATGATGCAGTATTTAGTTATGTGTTTATGTTGATTTTGCATGCTGTTAGATTTAGTGGCACGAAGCTAAGTTATGCATGCGTCCATGGATGGGTATATGATCCTTTATGGATACTTGGTATTTCTGAAATCATGCACTGTATAAACTGTTTATCAAGATACCTTGAGAGTGGGATTCTTAAATCCCCATTTGTCCGATTTACAGACGTTACTCTGTCCGAATTTCGTCTCTGTCAAATGAAAAGTAAACTAGAAGAGTATGCAATATTATATATCATGTGAAAAGCAAAAAACAAAAACAAAAAATTAGCTCATATTTTCATAAGTTAAGTCTTCCGCTAATTCTGTTTAGTATCATACGAGTGTTAACTGAACCAGCTCGAGACGGGGATGTTACAAAGAATTTCTTCATTATCAAATCAATCATTTCTTTTACCCAATGTTATTAAAATCGGCCTGATTATTGATATGGTCGAGATATCGGGTCACTGGTTGAACTGCATGACCCGATGATTATATATAAATCTATAATTTATATTAAAGAAATTATAAACATACTCAAATACCTGAAAAAAAATATAAATTCTAAATATTTTAACAGAAAAATATTTCTGCAGTTAATGCAGATAAGTTATCTGCATTTACTTTCAAAACGACGTCGTTTTGGGATTGGAAGATTAAAAAATTATAATTATAAAGACTATAATAACCCTGAAATAAATTAAAATTATAAAAACACCATGATTTCCGCCCCAAAATGACATCGTATTGGGTTTACGGCAGATAATTTATTTGCAGTAACTGCAGAAAAAGTGAACCCATATTTTAATATAAAAAATATTAAATTATACATTATTATCCAATAAAGGATTAAAAAAACATATAATGCTTATGATATTGGTGTTTCAGGTTCAGTAAACAACGTCTCTAACTATAAATCAAATCAAAATTTACTGCATAGTGCATAACTGAGATAATATCAGTATTGTAGATACATAATTTATGTAAGTCAATAAGTAACAGATCATTCAAATATATCAATTATGATTTTTTTTAGAAAACATTTTTTTTTTGGAATATTTTTTTAAAAAAACCCGGGCTGAGTCACCGATTTTCATCAAAATTGGCCGGATCACACCGGGTCTGGTACTTGACCAATTCAATACGATAACCGGACCGGTTAGATAACTAGTTCACCGGGTTCCAGGTCAATCCGACCAATCCGTTCCGGTTTTTACAACATTACTTTTACCTAGATATTATTGCTGTAAAACAATAATTTCGTCACTAAATGAGACTCATGTCAATAAGCAAAATTGAGAAGCCGTGTTGAACAATTTTTTTTTTTTTGAGTAGGGAAGCCGTGTTGAACGTTATTGATGTTGTTGCATCATTAATTCAACGAAATTCAAATGGAAATTAATTGGAGTAAACTTTTTTTTGTAAATGTTAACACACTTTGTTGCATCATTAATCATTACAGTGGCATGACAGGAGAAGGAAAAAATTAATTGGAGTAAGAAATATGTGACAACGGGGTATACATTCATTCACATCTTTACTTTCTTTACTTTTAGAGAAATATTCACTTATTTTTCATTTACAAAAAAATAATGAAAATTAATTTTCTACTAATCACACTCTAACGTAAAAGTGTGTTAACATTTTTACAAAAAAGGAAAAAGTGGAGGAAGTGGAAGAAATTAAGACTATGGATGAAATAAGAAATTAAAAAAATTACAGTTTTCCAGAAAAATCGTTTTAATTATTTAATTATACTTACAAGATACGAATTGGCTACAGATAAGCGAGAAAGTGGAGGAAGATTCAAGAAAATGAATGAAAAAAAATAATGCATTTAGTTAAAAATGGAAGCAACTAATTAAAAGCACAATGATTTGTTGTCAGTGTCAACATTCAATTACACTTGAATCCTGTCAAAGATCACTTGATGGTTACATGTCAGCCATATCATGCATAATTTCAGTTTGGCTGATACATGGCTAGCTATATTGGGTCCTTACACCTCTAATGTCGCACTCTTGTACTTTATTTATGAGAATCCAAGACATGCTCATGCACACACACAAAATATGGAACTTCCACTGCTAATGCATCATGCCCTCTTTGCACTAAGCTTTTGCTTCTCAATCTTCACGGGATATTGTGATTTTATATCTTTGAAAGAGAATTCAGATTCATCTTCATTTCCAGGCAACTTCCTTTTTGGAACTGCTTCTTCTTCATATCAGGTTCTTTTCGCACCCTTTCTCATCAGAATAATATGTGATTATATTTTCTATGACTCTTTACAAGTTAAGATATTCTTTACTTTTTTTTTTACTTTTCTAGTTGTTTTCAGTATTTACAATGCAAATTAAAGCCATAATTTTGCAGTTTGAAGGAGCTTTCTTGAGTGATGGTAAGGGACTAAATAACTGGGATGTTTTCACTCATAAGCCAGGTTCATATTCTTAATTATCATCTATAGCTTGGATGCCCGATTTCCCCAAAGAAAAATTTCCTTTTTGTACTTCTCAGTTCTCACTGTGTAATAGTTATATTTCAGGCACTATAATGGATGGAACAAATGGTGATATTGCTGTTGATCATTACCATCGTTATCAGGTTTAATTATATTCTCCTTTTGCTTAAGTTGGCCCCTCTGTCGCTGTAAGAAAAGATTTGGGATGAAAATCAAGAATAAATTCCTTCAATCTTTTCCTTTTCCTTAATTTCATACAAGTACCACCTTAAAAATAATTGCACAAATATTTTTGTAGTAAATAAATAAATAAAAAATAATCCCATTAAATTATCGTGGAAGTAAGGACACACAGTATTATCCTTATATATTTGTACTAAATAAAGCATCTCTAAAAAAACCTTTTCATCAAGAAGTATGTAAAAATATATTAAAACTTAAATAAACCTGTCGCTGACAAATATATCCATGTGCTTCTTTAACTTGAAATCAAGGGCGCGTTTGGTAGTGGAGAATTTTTTTTTATCAGGAAAATATAATTATTGGAGAAATGGTAAGAAAGTGGAAAAGTTTTAAAAAAAATATTTGGTTGACCGAAATATTACCGGAGAAATTTATTTAAATTTGTAAAATTTATGTTTAAGAGGAACTTTGCACCTGTTTTTTTCACTTCTCCAGTTATCTCAAAATATCATATCTCAAGTGGTATTTGTAACAGTGAATTTCACCCAAAAATCAACACTAAAGTTGTTTCCTAGCCTTCCTATTTGTCTAACTTTTTTTTTCAAAAACTTGAAGGTATTTTTCATTACCCACCTACACTTTCCCATCAAACCCAAAATAAAACTTATACCAAACACACCCTCAGTGTTCCAAGCTTTTATTGTTGTAGAGCGGTCAGACACAATTCTTTAACTCAGCTAATAAAGCCTAAGGATAAGGATTATACCCTGTGTTCTTAAAATGAGACATTTATTAGACCCTCATTATAAGAATCTCGCTCCATAAGCACAAGACATCTCACACATCTGGTGAGGGTACTTGCCTTACAACTAGTGCAGCCCAAAAAAGTAAAAACATTCTAATTCTCTCTTATCATTGGTTAATTTTCTCGACCTATATATATATCCTTTTCAGCTATTAATCAAATGACACTTTTTATATGTTCATTTAGGGGACTATCATATTTATTATCATTTTAGATTTATTACCTGATTGATTATCATTGCATCAATTTGAAATCAGTGATTGAAAAAAAAAATTGCCGTTGATTTTAAATTAATTCAAGAATAATAAATCAGGTGATAAATATAACATACATCTTCATTCTAATGCATTAAGCTATGAATATCACCTCGACGAGCCACCATGCCTAATATTTTCCCTCATATTCTCAGCCTACGTACCCCGGAACACTTGTTCATAATAACTCTCCATTAAACTAAGATTGATACCTCAACCTCATAAATCAATGATATGTTGACATGTTAGGAAAACATACCAACGGTTGAATGAAAATATAACTTTTTCCACTACACCTACGGTTCATATTAATATACTGGTGACTTATCGTTCAATTTAGAAAGCAGGAATATTGGACGAATATATTTTGTGACCCACCATATAGAAAAAAGCCACTGGAAAGCCAACATAGGGTGGACAAAGCAGTACCCCACCTGCAATTAAAATGATTTTCTTCTGTACTATCTTTGTATTTGGAGTAATTAAAATGATTTGATTTGATTTGATTGATTGAATTAAAATTAATATGCTTAAAATATAAAATATATATATATATATATATATATATATATATATATATATATATATATAGGGTTTTATAAGAGTTATGTTGTAGGAAAAGTGATTGTGTTATGTTATAGAGATTCGTTTTGCGTGCCGAAGTTTTTTTTTTTTTTGCTGCGGGCCCCACAAAATGTTGTGTGTGTAGAAAAATTTTTGTGGTCATGTTAAATGATAGATGATAAACCCATATATATATTACTTTTATTTGTATGAAATAAATATGCCATCTGTTTTTACAATTCATTAGCATCTAAGTGCATGATTAACCTTACTTTTCAATCATGACAGCTAATTATTTTATGATTATAAAATTGAGAAACAGGAAGATGCGGATCTTATGGAATACACTGGAGTCAACAGCTATCGCTTTTCACTATCATGGGCCAGAATTCTACCAAGCAAGTTTTCTAAAATAATAATTTCATAAAGTCTTTTACAAGAGAGACAAATCTTCTTCCACTAAGACATCGAAACATGTTCAGGGCAATTTTTTTTTTATAACCGTGGGCCCCACCTAAAATATGTTGCCGGTAAAGGGTGAAACATATTAACCTTTAATAAATTGTATTTAATTTTACTATGTCTAATTAAATCTGCCTTCTAAATTTAATCCAGAGGGTAGATTTGGCAAAGTGAACAGAGCTGGCATTGATTACTATAACAGGCTAATTGAAGCACTTATCAATAGAGGTCATTTTTGTGTTTTAAATCCCAAAATTGGCACTATTTTTATAAGTGAATAATTTCCCTGCCTCTAAACTTTTTATTTTTCTGGTTTCAGGAATAGAACCCTTTGTCACAATAACACACTATGACATTCCTCAGGAACTTGAGAACAGATATGAAGGTTGGCTAAGTCCTAAAATTCAGTAAGTACATCCAATCAGCATATGACAACATAAACTATAAGTGCCACGTCACAGCTAATTTGGCGAACTTAATGTCAATTTTTCAGGGAGGATTTCAGGTATTATGCTGATATATGTTTCAAGTACTTTGGAGACAGAGTCAAATACTGGGTCACCTTTAATGAACCCAACGTTGCAATTAACCTTGGTTATAGAGAAGGGTTGTGGCCACCATCCCGTTGCTCTGGCTCATTTGGCCACTGCAGCTATGGAGATTCAGAGAGGGAGCCTTTCATTGCAGCTTCTAACCTTATGTTATCCCATGCAGCTGCCGTTGATGTGTACAGAACAAAATACCAGGTAATATTAGTTTTTCTCATTTACATACTTTTTTTTTTACAGAGACCGTGCGAGTTTGGAGTAGTAGTAAAATTATATTTTTGTGATTGAAAGATAATGGTTTAGAATCCGAAAAATAGTCTTTTGTATATATGTAAAGGTAAAGCTGCATATAAAGATTGTCATTACCTTACCTTCACTAATCAGGATTTAATGAAGAATGATTTTTTAATATATATTTTTTTTATATATAGAAAAAGAGAGAACCATACTACTTAGAAAAAAGGTTTGCAAATAACATTTGTGAGGTAAGATATCCTTATAAGATAAAACAATAATGTTAGTTCTATATTTCATTTTTTATATTTTTACTCTTCACTCTTGCACTTACTCATAAAATGTAAATGTTGAGCATGAATGTAAAAAATGAAGTGTAGGTGTAACATTTTTTATCTTTTAATTGTCTACACTTGAAGAAATACTTAATTACATAAATTTAGTGCATCCAAGCTGAGTGTATATTAAGCAGATCACAATTAACTTTATTAAGTGATAGATAGTTATCACAATTCACTTATGAGAAAGCATTAGTTATGCTCCCTATTAATTAATGCGCTAATCGAAAAACAGAAAAATCAGGGAGGAAGAATTGGAATTGTTATGAATGCTATATGGTTTGAACCCTTCAGCAACTCCTCGGAGGACAAGTTAGCTGCTGAGCGAGCTCAATCATTTTACATGAATTGGTAAAACCTTTATTTTTGGTTATTTTTATGAGTTCTTGATGGCCTCTCAAAATTTTCTGAGCACATGACTGATCAGTCTCTCATGGAGGAATTCATCAGGTTTTTGGACCCAATTATACTAGGGAAGTATCCATCAGAAATGCATGAAATATTAGGACCTGAACTCCTAGCATTTTCAAGATATGATCTGGAAAAACTCAAGACCGGGTTAGATTTCATTGGAGTAAATCACTATACAAGTGCTTATGTAAAAGACTGCATCTTCTCTGCATGTGAACCAGGACGAGGGTCTTCAAGGACAGAAGGTTTTGCTCTAACATCACCACAAATGAATGGCGTAAGCATTGGAGAACAGGTATGAAACTTTATAGCTTTTCATTATTGAGGACCATAAAATAACATGTTGGATCAATTTGGTAAACCATATTAATTGTAGTGTGTGAATGCATGTAGACTGCACTTGACTGGTTGTATATTCACCCACAAGGTATGGAGAAGATAGTGACTTACATAAAGCACAGGTACAACAATATTCCAATGTTCATTACAGAAAATGGTGAGTAAGAAAAGCCCATGAATGTACTTTTATAATGCTGCAATCCCCTTCTTTGTGCTATATGCCCTTATGAGGTTTAATTTGATTGTCCTGTATAGGACTCGGGACAAGGGAGAATTCTAACCACAACACTAAAGACATAATCAATGATGTCAAAAGAGTTGAGTACTTGAGTGGTTACTTGGATTCACTTGCAACAGCAATAAGGTATTGTTGGTTGGCATAACCATCTTTGAAAAATATACCAAGCTTCCTTATGTTCTTTTGGCCTTTCATATATATATTATAAATCTTAGGAAAGAACTAGTTAAAAATTAAGTCACACCATGATCAACAAATTGTTACTTAATATTTTTTATGTATAGGAAAGGAGCAGATGTGAGAGGGCACTTTGTGTGGTCCCTGCTTGATAACTTTGAGTGGACTTATGGATACACTATAAGGTTTGGACTTCATCATGTGGACTATGCCAATCTCAATAGAACCCGAAAACTGTCAGCATTTTGGTACAAAAACTTCATTGCTGAACATAAGGCTCGCTCAGGCATAAGGCTTGGGCATACCTAAGTGAGATGAACAATGGAAAGATAATTTACTTTCAAGGAAGAAAATAGTAATGTAATAAAATAAGTAGTCCTTTTGTTATAGCCTTGCTTCTTTTGTTCTTTTGGTGAAAGTCTCAGGTAATAATGTCATATGGAAACAAGGTTGTATTTCTTGAGTTCTAATGTAAGCATGCAAAAGACACTGTTCAGCAAGTTGAGAAAAGTGGCTGATATTAGCTTGTCGTCAATAATGCAACCCAATTTTCTGTATTCTTTTTATATAGACTTATTTTCCTTTACCATTTGCAGTGTTTATAAGAAACAGATCAAGCTTCAGTTGTGTTTTTGTCTTATTAATTAGTGCATAACAAGTTTTTGACACACACATCATGTCTTAAATCACTCCTACTTATATTATATATTAGAGATAAAATGTCTTGCGACAAGGCCCATGCCCATTTACATGCTCAACATGGCGTTATTCTTTTGGGCTCCTTTTAACCACATCGCGTGCCACAACTTCCTAATTAATAATTAATAAAATGAATTTGAAAATTAAGTAAATTTAGAATTACGATGCTGATATTATACACGTACGCTTGAATGACGGCTCGGGCACTTGTATTTATCCGATAAAATGTCATTTTTTTTATTTATATTATTCATAAACACTGTATAATCGAAAGACTTCGCTCCCTTAGAAATTAGAATTAAATATATATTATGCTCTTTTTCTCTCTCTCTTCTTGATAGTATATATAGGCGTTATACTTATATCATGCACAATGCAATGGCGTTCTCTACATTGCTGAAAGCTCTGTTTCTGGCGATACCTTTGATTCTTATGCTCATGCCATGTTCTATCATAGCACTTTCAAAGGGATTGGAACAATCTCCATTACCAACCAACTTCCTCTTTGGGACTTCTTCTTCTTCTTACCAGGTGACTTAATTTACTATTAATTATAATCACCAATTATAACTCAAGCTCTTTAATTAACTATTATATCATATATGCATGTTTTCTTTTCTTTAACTTTACTTCGAGGTTTGTCCTTTACAGTATGAAGGTGCATACTTGAGTGATGGGAAAGGAGTAAATAACTGGGATGTCTTCACTCACAAAACACCAGGTTACTTTGTTTTGTGATGTTACAAAACATGCACAGATTACACCTTTCTAATCGATTGCATATAAACTTAATTTGCTAGCTATTGCTTATATATACGTTCAAACTTTCCATTTTAATAAATTAAAGAGTAGTATATTGATGAACGATTGCAGGTAGAATAATTGATGGAAGTAATGGGGATGTTGCGGTTGACCAATATCATCGCTATCTGGTAATACATCTTCAAAATTCATGACTTTGGTTTTAAATTAGGATAGGTCATTCTGCCGCTACCCCTTTCCTCTTTCGATTACAATTTAATCCAACCGTTCATATTTGCAAAATAAAATAAATCTTTTTTTTTCTTTTTTTTTTTCTCCTCACCTCCTCCCACATCCTTTCTCTCTTCCTCTGCTACCAATACCTATACCTATTTTTTTCCTCTTTCTCACTGATGTCTCCCCAAGTGAACGTGCAAATGGCGGAAGCATTTGAAAACAATAATCAGAGCAAATGATGTTACTAACATAATTTTGGTCATCGTCCTTATCAGGTTTTACAATTAAGTAACATATATTATAAAATTGAGAACACAACCACCCGGGAGACCAATCTTGAATGTGAAAAATGTTTTATTTGTGTACTATGTGCAACTCATACATTTTATTATGTTTCATGAGGATCATATTTTAAAATATTAAGAAAGAAAGGAGATTGTACTAAACAACAGGGGGCAGTAAAGTTCAATCCCAATAGTAGTATAATTACCAAACCAAACCAGTGACTACACACCAATTTTTGAAGCTAATGTTAAAAGAACAAAGAAATTTTCAAACGGCTCCCGGAGAATTTGGGTTTGTGCAAAACGTCTTCTTCATGACAGGAAAGGGTTGGAGTCAAGGAAAGAGAGAAAAAAAGTAAAAGGGTTTTTATTTATCTTTTGAATCTGAATCATTAGATGAGATTGTAATTCAATAGTATTGAGAGAGGTAGATAAAAATAGACAAAATAAAAGTACGCAGAATAATAAATCCCTTTAAAATAATGGCTAATCATTTTAGCCTTACTAAAAATATGTCTGATTTGTACAGTGCGTGTGTGGCGTCCACCATTAAGCATGACCTGCCAGCAAAATAATACTAAAACAAGAGTTAATTTCTTTAAATAATACAATTTTATAAAGCATAACCTGTCTGTAGTGGCATTTATACAGCAAAAGTTTAAATCTTAAATTCTATATAATAACATAATATAAGGTGTGTGTGAGGACACCGCTGTCTGCACTTGTAGACACAAGTTTGAGAATTTTTTTTTAAAGGGTGATTTAGGTCAAATAAAAAAAAAAGATTTAGGAAGATTGAAAAGAAAAAAATAAATATAGGCTCAATCATAGTAGTTAAAATTGGGATCTTACCTAAAATCGGAAGGAGGATAAAAAATCATAAAACGTAAAATCTTAATATAAAAAAAAATCGTAAAAAGTTATAAAATCATAAAAGTGCTTGAAATTTTGATGAAATCGTTTTGATTAAAAAAAATCGTAAAAACATAAAATCACATATTTAAATGGAAATTTTAACTAACATGGACCTAATGCAACCAACCCCTATAATTCTTTTCTTTTCTTGTTTATATATTTCTTAATACATTTAAAATTTTCTTTAAAAAAAAAAAAAATCTTCGGGGGTGCTGCCTCTGAACCCCCACACCGACACTAAATATGCAAACATAATTTTTTTTTTCTGAGACCGCCACTGTGTGTGAGTTATTTTACTAACAATATTTTTGAGTTTGAAATTCAAATCCCCCACATGAGGGATTTTAGCTGGCCAAACCAACAATATCGCTTACGTTATCTTTTCTATTCTATAAAATTAGTGTATTATCCGTGCGATTCACGAAGAAAAAAAATCGATTTGTTTGGCGTGGTAGGCCGGCCCTCCGGGCCGAGCCCATTTTGCCACTTCTTACTATTAGCATTTTATATCAGCATGTAATGGATTTCTATATTTATCCTATGGTCATTCCAAAATATATCGCTATACTTTAGTTTAACCTGTGGTTATTCCAAAATATATCGCTATACTTTAGCTTGTCTTGTGATCATTCAAAAATTACAAAGTTTGACTCGGCTTCTTTCAGTAATTCTCAGAGATGGACTTTCATTTATTACACTCAGATTTACAAAATAATAATAAATAATTATTTTTTGCAAGAACTTGTGTCGATAGTATCTGAAATTTTACAAATTTATATTTACAAAAATTAAAATCAGATTTAGGAATTTAATTATAAAAGAATAATGAAATTTTAATCTAATTATAAAAATGTATTGGCAGGCGGGTCGAGCAGGCGGGTCGAGCAGGCCCTCCGGGACAAGCCCAGTTTTCTACATTTAACTATCAGCATTTTACGTAAATAATTACTTTTTTGCAAGGATTGGTGTCCTTAGTATTTTGAGTTTTACAAATTTATATTTACAAAATTTGAAATCAGATTAATGAATTTAATTTTAAAAGAAAAAGTATGAAATTTTAATTTAATTATAAAAATAAGTTGGTGGGCCGGCCCTCCGGGCCGAGCCCAGTTTGCCACCACCTCTAACTATCAGCATGTAATAGGTTTTTGTACTTATCCACAAAAAAGGTCCTTATAGTTGCATTCAGATTTTTATATTTATCTCAGAGATGGACTTTCATTTATTACACTCAGATTTACAAAATAATAATAAATAATTATTTTTTGCAAGATTTTGTATCGTTAGTTTTTGAAATTTTACAAATTTGTATTTACAAAAATTAAAATCAGATTTAGGAATTTAATTATAAAAGAAGAATAGTTGAATTTTAATTTAACTATACAAATGTGTTAGTGGGCCGGCCCTCTGGGCCGAACCTAGTTTGTCACCTCTAACTATCAGCATGTAATATATTTTTATATTTATCCAACAAATGGCTCTTATAGTTGCGTTTAGGTTTTTATATTTTATCTCGGAGATGAACTTTCATTTATTACAATCAGATTAACAAATTAATAATAAATAATTATTTTTTGCAAGCATTTGTGTCGTTAGTATTTGAAGTTTTATAAATTTGTATTTTAAGAATTAAAATCGAATTTATGAATTTAATTATAAAAGAAGAATAGTGAAATTTTAATTTAATTATAAAAATATGTTGGCAGGCGGGGCGTGTTGGCCCTCCGGGCCAAGCTCAGTTTACAGCATTTTATTTATTTTTATAGAATGATAAATGTCATTTTTTATTTTTTTATTTAAAATAAAAATTTAAATTCTTTTGTTTTCATTGTGCATATTTTTTTATATTTATAACAAAAATATAATAAACAAATATGAGTTGATACAAAAAAAATATTCTACTAAATCGAATGTTTAGTGAATTGAATTCCATTTAATATAATCAAATAAATTATTATTTTAGTAAAAACAATTGGAATATATATATATATATATATATTTATATATTAGAAACACGGTCATTGTTAGGACCTGTTTTATAATACACTAATTTATTTTTTTTAGCAAACAAAATGTTGTTGAAAGAAAAAAAAAAACTCTATTACACATTAAAAAAAGATAAAATAAATAATTCAAATCATTATTAAAACTTGGTATTCTAACTTGATATCAAGTGTGCTAACTAGGGGTGTTAACGAGCCGAGCTTTGGTCTTAACGGGCCGAGCCTGTGTTCAAATGTGTCAGACTGGCCTTAGCCTGTTACCTGTTACGAATATAATATCAGCATATGGTTTGACTCATTTACAAAAAATAAAAGCCTTGTTTAACCTGTTAGCCTGTTTAAAAAAAATAAGACAACAAAAATTTATCCAAACAAAATATACAATCAACAGCACTAGTAATTCCATAAATATTTATAAATTTAATGTATA